CTCAAGTGTCGCTGGGGTCAGACACACCGCTGTTATCAGCGTGTTACACCATTCGGCAATTGCAAATATTAGCAAGCTTCGCAGTATAGCGGCTGACTCCTCGTCTACACTCCTGCGCTGAATTGGCATTACTGTACTGTTATTGGAAGCAATAGGTGGAAGGTGGTTGGAGGAATATTTCTTTCCTTAGGAGTTTTCTTGATGTCATATAGTGCACGTGTTTGATTGTCTTCACTAGCTGGTGAGTGAACGCAACAGGTGTGGGGGAGTGGGAGACACTTGTGGCCGAGTTAAGAGTATCGCAGGTGTGTGGAAGAGAGCCACGTGCAGCTACGAGTGCCAGTCGTTCGGGTGAGTGACGCTTGGTGGTCACATCTGGATCTGGGAGCAATTCTTGAATATAAAACTAGATGTATATTTATTTTAGGCAGACGTTAATGTGAACCAAAAACTTGACCTGGCTCGAGACGTGGAGGATTGTACAGTATAATCGCCGGGTGACCGTGACCTCCGCCTCGGTGAAGCACAGTGGTGTGTAGGAGTAAGTGAAAGTGTGTAACGCGAGTGTCGTGGGAGCAGACCGCTTTCACCATAACCTGAACGTGTTGGTAGAAGTTAGTGTGCAGTAGTGTTGCGTCTAGAGAACTGGTCTGACTTCCTGATGGCGGTGGTGGCGGCGTCCCGTTTACCGGGAGGTGGTTGTGAAGTGTGGTCCTGCCCGCCCGCCATCCTCAAATATACCCGTGTTATATATCCCCCTTCACTTGATTCAGAACGTAAACGTCTACGGTATACAGTGTCAGACATTTTAACATAACATAGTGAAGACTAGGTACCCACTTACATTTATTAAACATTCTAACCTGACCTAACATGCGTGAGGATTAGGTACCCTAGTACAGTGAGGGGCGATAAGATTGAGGTGTATGAATGCAAGTCAGGGCCAAACAAAGGCGCCATTACAAAGGTAATCCAAACTATCCAACCAGGAGCGAACTCGTAACAATGGTTTTAAATTAGACAAATTTAGATTTAGGCGCGAAATATGTAAACATTGGTTTGGAAATAGAGTAGTAGACGATTGGAACAAGTTACCAAACATCATTAACTCGAATAAGCTGGATAGCTTCAAACATAGGTTGGATGGATATACTGTACTGTATGAGCGATAGGGGTTGGGTGTAAATGGAACTGCCTAGTTTGGGCCAATAGGCTCCCGCTACAGTTTCCTCCATTCTTACGTTCATATATTACTCGATTAAATAACCTAACCAAACCTTACTTAACCCCCAGGTAGCATTAGGGTGGTTAATTATCAGGTGATATAAGCCGAGATACCCAATGACATAATCCCAGTAATCTTCTTGGGTTAATGCATTACGATCGTTCTTGGGAGGTAAATTTAACCTGAGAATCTTGATCTGGAAGTTTTGGTAACCTGTAGTAAGACTTGTCAGACACACAACTAGGTCCAGGGTTTTGTTGTAGCACTAAAATAAACACTTGGTATGTTTTGGCAGCCAAAGCGGCCAGTTATTGTGGTGTGGGAGTGTTAATGGTGGTGAACATGACCTTGCAATGCTGTACTGGGTGTGAGAAAGCTTGTATTACCATGAGGTTAACCACCCTAACGCTACTTGAAGGGATGAGGTTAGTATTAGGATGGTTAATCATCTGGCACTATACTGTAGTTATAAACGTCCCCATGAGTATAGACATTGAAGGTATGCAGTGTACAGTACATAGGCCACAGGAGTATGCAATATTCCGCGCCAAGGCAGTGCTGGGTTTGTTGCGGTCAGGTATTTTGTTTCTCAGATCTAGTTGTGAAGATAGTCGGGGCTTTTATCTTGTACCAAAACTCGCTAAAACATAATGAAAGTCCTGTCAGGATGTAACATCTTGATAAATGGTATCGTAGGAAATATTCAGATAAAGAGTGACTGCAGCTTCGTTACGTAGTGCAGACTGTGACGAACATAAAGTTAATTTTACTTGTTAACGTAAATATGTAATTTCTTACTTAAATTCTCAGGGTTTTTTGTCGTATTAGGAGAATGAAAACTTTTACTTGGAATAAAACAAAATAAATGGTGGAAAAGTGGAAGTAATGTTGTCATGTATTACCGTGACGAAAGACTCGGAGAATATTAAACGCTATGGTCTGCCCCTCCTCTATACTACGCCAACATTTATGGTTTTATAATTCGATACGAATACACAATACATGGCTTCTTTAGTCGAGTTTGAAGGAGAGTGTAATAAGAGTAAATTGTGTAGCACCTACGATAAGGGAATAACAAAATCCCAGTTGGCGGGGTTCATCACAGTAGGCTGTTAACTACTAGGTGGCACAGCCTCTTATGTAACACTTGTCCACTTTTTTGTTTCCCACGCATTAGTTTAATAACACACATGGTTGTACGTTTTGTTGGGCGTGTCAATGAACGAGAAATAAGCTGGACCTTGTTATTGTGTTAATAAGTAACCTTGATAACGTGACTGATTATTATAACGTCCCTGAAGCTTGGATTTTTCTTCTCTGGTTGGTTGTGTCGACCATTAATGCGCCGATATACGCTTAACTTCACACAGGTGCACATAGTTTTTAAGCCAGGTGTAGTGAATATATCCCTTTTTTTTCTTGGAGGATCAGGAAGATTTGTCATTCGCCAACATATTTCACCTGATGATCAACCACGCTTAACGCTACCTGAGGGCTCAGGTTGGTTAAATTATAGGCGAATTGAACCTTTGGTGGGCTGTTTTTGTATTTATTGAGACTGAAGTTGACTGATGGCTAGGAATACTGTTCAGTGTGTTTGATCTCCCCTGATGCTAGTGCGTTGACAGGGAGAGGCTGTCAACACACACAACGAGAGAGAGAGAGACTGTCAATCTTAACACGAGCTTTAAGGGCTAAGACTGCAAACACTGCTGAGAATGTTATTGATGGTGATGCTGTACGTATTTATAACACTACTTGGCAACAACACCACTAGGATGACAGCCGTACTGCTGTGCCCCCGTATACTCTTACTTCACAGCCATTCATTTGGCCCTCAACTCGAGTGGTTTGTAAGATTACATGCTGGTGTTCGCGGTATTTTAGAACTGTTATGAAACTTGAATATACATCTTCTCTAGCGTTATCTTAAATGTAGTGAACATTGACCGCGTTATTTTCAATTGAGTAGCGTACATTTGGGATATTATTGTAATATTTTACTTTACCTTATCCTCTTTGTCACACCATACGGGATCAAGATGGTTGCCTTAAACATTAATAAAATGAATAAATATTTAGGTGCACAGTACAGTCTGATGTTGGTGTTTAAGGATCACAGCTTTGCCTTAAAAGACGCGTAGGCTAATGAATGAATGGAGGTGAGGGTCTGACACAGTGACCGTGAGGTATCCCCCCCTGTCCCACATACACACTTGGCCGGCCAGTACAACACTGGATTGAACCACTTGATGGTAGCCAAAGGTCGCTTCACACTTGTCTTTTTACCTTAAACCAAACTTTGACATTTTTTTTATCTACCGTTTGTTAGCTCAAGTTAGCGAAAGTAATATCGACAATATACACACACTAATGTTGAAATAATCTTTGTCGGTGTTAGACAAATTTTGCAAAGTATTTAATGAAAAAAATAGTGGAATTTCCAAACCCGCTTCAGGTTCTCGTGTGGAATAAAGTGGTCAGCTCTGTTGTGTGGACACTGTTGATGGATCATTATGGTGTAGTTGGCTTCCCTGGTGTATGGAGTACGCGTCATGCCACCGTAATGGAGAATAAGTTTGATCCCGTTTGCTGAACTGGGAATGTGGGTGTTGGTAGAGGAAGATTAATCGCTGGATGTAGGGAGGCCTGGGGAAGGGGGGTGGGGGAGCAGACGAATAATACCGCAGGAGGGCAGGGTTGATGCCCTTTGATTTTCATTATAGCGTACTGTACCTTATACACTTGTACAGTATAGTGTAAACTCCACCTCGGTCCACAAGCTCCAACAATGCTCGTTTTCATACCTATTGGTGACTTGTTCGCTATTGACAGTATGCTAAACTGGCTGAGTAATGTCTTGCTTCAAGTGGCTATACCCATTTAAGACACGGATGGAAAATACATAAAACATAAGTACCGGTGGGTCCTAACATGGGCTCCACCAGATAACCTTGTATGGGAGGCGGCTACAGTCCTGTAGGAACCACTTCATAGAAACATAACTCCTGTACTTTGGTATTGTTTTAGTAAGAGTCTTCGGATGTGCCGTAAATCATTATGGCATGTGGCAACAATGAGGGCGTGCGGGTGGGGACTAAAGGGCGCCGGTGTAGGGGACCGTTATTGGGGGAGGAGACAGGGTGTTGGCAGCGTACCTCGCTCTCCTGCCCGAATACCCATACACACCCCCCACCCTGCCCTAGACGCCTCCCTGCCCCTTGTTATTCGTGCTCTGCCTTTACTCCATTATACTAAGAATCTCTCCACATTTTACTTGGCCTCTCAAACTCCACCTTTTGTACTTTGCGACTTTGAATCTCAAAATCGGGAATGACTTTTTTATATTTGTGACACGTGGTGGTGCCTTTCATTGGTTAGTGAAGCAAACTCCAGTTTAGCCCTTAGAGGCATCCTACCCACCCCACTCTGGAGTCGCCACAAAAATACTTCTCATGTATGCCTCAAGCAGGTGTGAATACAGTTTTGTGAAAAACATTCATTAAACGTACTGTACTCTTATTGAAACAGACAAAATGCAGAAATTCATGTTCATTGCATACTGTGTGAAGGAATTTCTGCTGATACTTTAACCTGCAGATCAGATTTTACTATTGTGGGTTTCATTTCATTTAACATGGTTTTAAAGAACCTTCTTCAGTTGCACATACTGGTGATCCCAGCATAGCAAACAATCTTGCATAAATTCAACTAATCTATCTTGTGTACTTATAGCACAGAACTTGATAATAATAATAATAATGTTGCATTGCAGTGTCGCAGGCATATGTCACCCTGGCCACCAACGATGGCTATGCCATTGGAGCTCTGGTACTGGGACACTCCCTCCGCTCGAACAACACCACTAAAGACCTCGTCATCATGATCGCTCCTGCCGTCTCTGAAGCAATAAAGTAAGTGACTAATTTACATCACTTCACTACCAAGTTTCCCCATCACTTAGGTCGGTCCTCTAATCCTTAGATCATTGTGGTGTGATGAGGTTTTTGGTGTTTAAATTTTAATGAACACCAAAAAAACCTTAAGTCTATTTAACAGAGCAAAACTATTTTTAACTTGTGGTAATGTGATGTAATTAAGTTTATGTACGGTAGTTCCCAAAGGCAGATTAAACGTACCGGTAAATTGAGGCAACCAAGTTATTGAAAGAGATAAAACACAGAAAATTAATGAATATTGTACTGTTACTTTAAAGTAGAATTTTGTATTTTAAGATTGAAACAGGACATCTTGAAATAATATTTTAGTTAGCAGGTGTGGAAGAGGCTTGTTGTTGACTATTACTTGAGGAATAATGCTTGATTATCACCTTGGACAGGTCCATGTTGGAGTCCGTATTCAACAAAGTGATAATTGTAGACGTCCTGGACTCCAGAGACTCTGCTCACCTGTCACTCCTGAAGCGGCCAGAACTTGGGGTCACCTTCACCAAACTTCACTGCTGGACACTAACACAATACTCAAAATGTGTCTTCCTCGATGCTGATATGCTGGTAAGCTGCCTGCTGACCAAAAATTTATTATGCTAATTCACTTACGAAGGATTTATCTGAATACTGTATTGCATTCGGTCTTAGAAGGGAAAGAAAGGCCTTATTTGTGCCTCCTTTCTTCATGCTTTAGACAGTAATAATAAATCATAGATATAAAAGATGGTAAGCTGAAGACAATGTAGGTAGCAAAAGGACTGAAAAAAGGATGATATGTAGTGTAGTAGGTAGATATTAATAACCATGAAAGAGGAGGATTCAAGAAAGGAGGCTGTGTGTTGGGAAGAACGGCACTGGTCCAGAAAAGAATGCGGAGGTATGATGGAAGCATTTCCTCTTGGGACTGAAAAGAACCTGGGATATGGAAGGTTTTATTATTAGATATCAAGAGAATTATAGAAAAGTAATGTTGGAAGTAATGAAAATATGGCTATTCTTATTCAGTGGTAAATAAAAAAAACCAAATCCATGTGTATTTAAACTGAAGCAAGGGTTAGTTTTGGGAAGATGAGGAGCTGGTTCCCTATGAAAGAACACTGTTAAGATATGTAATGATATGGTGGTTCGGTATTTTCATGGCTGACACGTTATATCTAGAAGTGTAAGTAATAAGAGTGCAGAGGTCTTATTGCAACTATATCTTGCGCAAGTCAGGCCGCACCTCGATTATGCGGTTCAGTTCTGGTGCCCTTATTATATAATGGATATCAATTCACTAGAGTCGGTGCAGCGTAGAATGACGAAAATGATTCCGGGACTTAGAAACCTTCCATATCAGGATAGGTTAAAGAAACTAAACTTGCATTCCCTAGAAAGACAAAGAGTGCGGGGAGATATGATAGAAGTATTCAAGTGGGTGAAAGGAATCAATAAAGGGGATATAGATAAAGTTCTTATAATATCCGAGCAGGATAGGACTCGAAACAACTGATTTAAGTTGGATAAGTTTAGGTTTAGGAGGGAGATAGGAAGGGACTGGTTCACAAATAGGGTGGTGGACGAGTGGAACAAGCTTAGCAACTGTGTAGTAAGTGCTGGAATGCTGGAAAAGTTTCAAAAGGAGACTGGATTGATTCATGGATGATAGAGTGTGGTAGTAACTCTCGACAGGAGCTGACATGCACAGACCAACCGGCCTATTGCAGACTCCTTATGTAACGGATGAAAGCAGAGTGATGGTGAATGGGGCAGGTTTGATAGTGACTTCAGACTTCAAATGGGAGGAGGGTTGTATATGACATGGCTCAGGTGGGTGATTCAGAAGAAAAGGTTGCAAACCTTAAAATAATTTGGAAATGCCGAGGAGAAATTAGAGTAAGTTGAGGAAAGTGAAGAAAATATTACCTTGAATGGAGGGTTGCACAGTATGTAGGAGAGGTTGTTGGTGAGTGGATGACGAGTTGAGTTATACTGTAGCCGAGGGAAAGTATGGAAATGGATGCTTTAAGGTGGTGACTGGAAAGAGAGAGAGGGAGGAAACTGTCAGGGAAAGTAATGGTGGAGATGTGTAGAGGAGTAGTAGAGCTATTATTCTACAACTTTGAACTGAAGAATGCTGGAAAAATAATTAGCTTGAGAGGAAGATGTTAGGTGAATAGGGTCAAGAACAAAATACAGTACTGCAAAAATGTCATTTGGAAGTGGAATGTATATTAGACAGAGCTGATCAGGGTTTAATGTGGTAAACAAAACGTGGGCAAAAAGTGTTTTATTTAGAAGTGGATGGTTAAAACCATGAGAGGGATGAAGTAGGTGGGTTGTAGAGGAACTGTTTTGGTTGGGGAAGAGACCTCCAAGAAGCAGTGGTGTGCAAGTGTGATTAATGTATATTCGTAGATGGTGGTAGGTTTTAAGATAGCTTTGGGTTCACTTTCTGCATTTGAATAATATTGGCAAAACTTTTCAGTGTGTGCAAAACCCAGACGATCTCTTCTCTCATCCTGAACTCACTGCGGTTTGTGACATTGGATGGCCCGACTGCTTTAATTCCGGCATGTTTGTGCTTGTGCCTTCCGTAGACACATATGGCAAGCTCCTCCAACATGCAGAAACGAGTGGTAGCTTTGATGGAGGTGACCAAGGCCTTCTAAACTCTTACTTCCCTAATTGGCAACGGGTCTCCTTCATATACAACATGGTCGCCTCTGCTACATACACCTACTTACCAGCATACAAACAGTGAGCCACTATATTGGGAATTTAACATCTAAATATTATGATGCAATTATTTGTACTAGTTATTGTTGTAATTTATGAGTGAGGTCATTTCCTTCATAGTGTAAACTTTTATAATATTCAGAGCATTATTGCTTAAAATTTACAGCCAAAGGCTAGAAGTTTCACCACAATGCAGACTTTAGTTGAGATTTTTCGTAAAACTTCTTTGCAACAGAATCAACATCTCTCTACCTGCAGGTTTGGAGCAAATGCCAAGTTGGTTCATTTCCTTGGGGCTCTGAAGCCATGGCAGCACCGTTATGATGCCGGCTCTGGTTCAGTACACACGGCACCTGGCTACGAACACCTCGCTCCCTACCTCAACTCCTGGTGGGCACTCTACAATCGTCTTGTCAAACCAGGTGTCCCAGAAATGGTGGGTGATGTATTTCGTTTGCATTTTAAATTAATTATTCAAAGTGACGTTTTAGATCTGCCATAATCACACCTTTTTTTTGGAAAGTTGATTGTACAGTTTTAAAGTAAATGATAATGCTTATTTGTACAGACATTACATTCATACCATAACAGCTTGTTGATCGATTTTGTCCACTTTCAATGATCATTAAGGCAGACCTAGAATGTGTCGTGATTTTTTGGGATGCAAGTGTTTGTTGTAATGAAGCATGAGTCGAGTGCATGTGTTATATTTGAAGTAATTGTACTGTACTAATTGTATACACACGAGCAGTATTTATATTATGGAAGCACAAGTTTCTCTTGATTTACAGACAAATCTAACTTGTCAAACTAGCAGTTGACTGAAGCTTTTAAAGGTTGAAGCCGAATTTAAATTTTAAGATTAGAACAAATTATGGACAACAGAGAAGGGAGAGGGATGAGTCCGCACCTTATTCTCGCTCCCTCCTACAGTATTAGTTTTGTCTAGACTTGCTTGAATATTAGAAAACAGTATATTTGAACAACCTCTTTTGCTTCTTGATGAAGCGGCCATATTCCTCCTTAATAAAGAGGCTTATAATGTGCTTAACATTTTAGTGATAATTGGAGTACTCTACATCGGGAACTTCAAATACGTTCCTCGTTTTTCTGCTGTGTACTTATACCAGATTCACCGTTGTATCATCTGACTCGGTAGTTTAATTCTTTACGCTTGCTGATAGATGTTACTTATTTGGGCCTTTGGGAATTATTTCTTCCAGGTTTTGCATTTCTTGGATAATATATAGTAGGGTTACCATCTTTGTCATTACATTGAGCTTTCAAATACAATAAAACAAATTTTTCAGCGTTTCTCTTCAAACACTACCTGAACAGTTGTGCCTTTGCAAAAAAATAATAGTTCACTGAATCTCCTTAAAATGGTGATCCTTTTAAATGTTTGACGCGAGACTACTCCAGTATCTGTATTAAAGGGGACCGAGACATATAGTACAGTATAGGTAGTGAAGGCCAAATCTTGCTGGAGTTGGGACGTTAGAAGATGAATACCAAAATTCGGGAAGAAAAGGGATAATACTGTAGTGTCAAATGGTGGCAGTTTTGAGGAGTGTATGGAATTACAGAGTGACCTTAGAATTTTGGATCATTAACTTAAAACATATTTTGAAGATGATAAAAAAATTATCTGATCATTTGGCAAAGTTTTTGAGTGGGGAAGAAGACGTAAGGGAGGAGTTTGATGAGTACTGCTATAGTAATTTGGACCTTATGTGCACCTAGTCACAGTTGCCTTAATGACCTGTAAATAATGGTTTACATGATGAAATTATTTATAAAACGAAAAGACCGACTTCCATTATGGGACGGTGAGAGTGTGTGCTCTTGTTGATGCGTCTTCCTTGATTTATAAAGATCTTTCCTGTTGATAGGTTTTGGCTTTGGTTTCTTTACAGTTTATTATTTAAACACATTAAATGTTTTTTGTTACTCCTGTCATTACCTTCCACCTCAATTTCTTTTAAATTTAATGATTAATCACTTTCATATTGTCCCTTCCCTTTGCCACTCTGTAAAAAGTAAAAATGAAAAGACAATATAGTTTAAAGTGCCCCTACCCCACCCCAATGCTTACCATGGCTGTTTTGACGTATATATACTGGTAAGTGTTTGCCTGTGATGGTGTGTTATTATAAAAGAGTCCTTGAAGGAATGGTGTGGAACTATTTATTAATCCATTGTCTACAATATTTTAGTAGATGCTTTTTTAAAAATTTTGATATTTTATACCATCTTGTAATTTGATAATGAATCCCATAACATTTCCTACCTGCAGCTCCTGGTATTTTTGTGTTGGATGCATGCATTAATCCTGTAATGATTATATTCCCTCGCAGGATCTTCAAAGAGCGCTGGAAGTGAAGTCTCCTGTTGAAGAAGTAAAGGTAAAATTTTATATACTACCTAAATATTTATTAGACGGTTATAGTGTAATTATACATTGTAGGTATGTACAGTAGACTTACCAGGATTCCTTGTACTAACACAGGGGTCAAAACTTGTTTATACTTGACCAGACCACATATGGGGAGAGTCTGCAACACTGATGGTTCTTTATAGGAATTAAGTGTACATTAGCTTAATTATATTGTCAAGGAATGGCAACAAAAATAACTTGTACTGTACTAGGGTGAATTTGATTAAGTTTAAATCTTACCTCAAACTTGGAAAATATGGACACTGTAACAAAAGCTTTCAATGGAAAAAGCAAAACTTAACTAAGGCCATCTGTCTATATAACGAAACCATTAAGTAAAGCTGCTACTGTTCTCCCAAGTACCATAATTATTATTATACACCATAGCTTCACCACAGGACATGGGTCTTTGTGGTTAAATTATATAGATAATGCTGCGACATACTTTATATCTTGGTGTCTTCTGGGTGCTACATTTGTGTAAAAATGTTTGTCTTTTCCATAGGCTAGTACATGTGAGACTAACTAACTGATGTAGAAGCATAGTTTTGTGAGATCAATAAGTGCAACCCATTTATACCAGAATAAATGTTGCTTTCTGGTGGCATTACTTGCATTTTCACTGAGGATTTGTACATTATTGAATTGATTTTTACATAATGTTGGTTTGTAGATAAAAAAGTTTTGACCTCTGCACTCTCAATCTGTACAGTATCTGTTAGATTAGAATATGTGGGCCAGAATTAAGTGTATTGTACAGTAGTGGAAGTTGAACTTGTTCAGCCATAGTTATATAAAGACTTATTTCTGTATTTAGTCATTGTAAGCCTGAGTGATGCTAGTGTACTAATTTAGTGTATGGTTCCTTACACGCTGCTATCCAGGAAATTGAGGATCAGGTTAAAGTGAATGACTCAGAGGAGGAGCACGAAAACACGTGTGCCTCCGATCATGTGTATAACGGAGACGAGGTAATGGATGAATCGAGTGTTTCTTACAGAGTACTTCGCAATTTGGAGTGCCATTATGAATGTGTTTCTAATGGAATTGATCTTTCTAATAAGGACAGGAGTGGCAATAAGGAGAGTGAAAACTTAGACATGGCAGCTCCAACAGAGAGCGAGGTGCAGGAGGTAAACAAGTCTTGTTACTATGAATCTTTTCTGACTTGGATGGGGCAAGGAGGCAAAGCTTTGTCTTGAAAATCCACGTGAAGACCTCGACTAAATTTTGAGGTGGAGGACTTGGCCTGCTTTGAGCTGCTGATTTTTACAAAGATGTGCATGTGGTTTTTTGGAATATTTCTTCACTTTAAATTTCTTGAATATTCCTGATTCCACAAATTGGTCATTGGGATTGATTCACTCACTTGGCTATCCTTGCAACATGAATTGCTTGTTGTCATGGGGTTTATATGTGGATTATTATGAGCTTAATTTTCTTGCTCTTGTCCTTATATCTGGCACTTTTCCCCCAAGTTTTAGATTGACAGAAATGTATACTGTATTGCAGTACAAGTGGTAATCGGGAAAATTTCACAGCCAGACATCAATGTATTGTTGTTCATGAAATAATTCTGGTGTTTTTAAATTTTGTAACAACTGAGTTTTGCCATTTTAGAAGTTTTGTTGGTCCCACTCTTATGTTCTATAACCTTGGGCATAGGATGGATAGCGACCAGATTATTAACAGGTAAAAGTTGTGGAGATTTAGGAGAATGGGGAAGCAGTATATATATTATTGTTAATGGTTACCAATGTAATAATACACGGGTCAGAACATGCATGTGAAACTGCAGTCAAACTTTATCGCACCTTTTTTGCATGTTAAATCTACACATTTTGTTTTTTCTCTTGCTGATGCCGGTCAACATAATATTCTCGTAACATTGTCATACAGCAGGTAATCCAACGTAACTACTTGTTCAGGGTCCCAAGACAGGATAGAACTCCATATAGTATTGATGGCATTTAAAATTTTGAAGTGTGAAAAGGATTTGCTTTTTCCCCACATGATGGTAATTGGTTTTATTTAATACATTTATTACCAGGAATTTGGTCCTTTATCATGCAGCATTATATTTGTTAAATTCTTGACTTAACTTATCCAAAAATTAAGAAAATAAATTGTTCAACCAGTGTCTAGGTTATTGACTATAGTTAGAAAAACCATATTCTAAATTTTCATTCTCTGCATTGTTAAAAATCACTAGTGAAGTTATTTACAACATCCTGCCTTGGGTTCCTCCTCAGCACTGCTTTTGCTACACTTGTATTGGCCATCTTTTTGACATAGATCTTATTTCAGATTGTCGTCTTTGACATGTATGGGTTTTCATTCTGGATTCGTCCCTTCTTAAGTATTTGGTGATTTTATATTTACCATTCTCCAGTTAATCTCCACACCACCAGACTTGTATCATTACATATGTGAAAAAATGTTGACAAGCTGCTTTGTGCTTGAAAGTACTATAGTGTATACAGTACTACTTAAAAATCATGGCAAACAGTTTGGCTAGTGTAGACTGTAGAGGTTGGGATACAAATTTTCTGATTACCCCTTGTATTTTAAGTGTATTAAGTGTCCTTCAGAGTGTAAGTACTGTACTCTTTAAAAGAAGTCAAATTGACATCTTGAAATTTAACCTGAATATTTCTTTTAGCATAGTTAAGTTATAAAGTTGTTTTATCAAAGGAATGGTAAATAATTAAAATATGTACAATAGTAAAGAAATAAATACTAATATTAAACACACACATAGGTTGCGCAACAGTTGTCTGGGCTGAGCGTGGCGCATGAAAGTCTTCAGGAAGGACAAGCCAGGTGGGAGCGCGGGGAACCTGACTACCTGGGTCGGGACTCCTTCGCCAACATCCAGGCCTACATCGATTCTAAAATAAAAAATGGGAAGTAACTCCGCAGCGGGGTTCTGTGCACATTCATTTCTCCTGGAGTACTGTAGGAGTGACTGTATGGAATGAACAGATAGGTAATGAAGAATTAAGTGGATGGACTATAGACAATTTATTGGCATCTAGAATGGGAATTGTTGAAAATCGTGGTTTTGAGTGCTTTTGTCTGTCTTGAGCCTCGAACTGTTGTAACGGTTTTAAATTGTTGCTGGCTCGACTACAACTCTTAAGCACTTTGAAAGTGTACATTGGTGTTCCAATTTGGCATTTTAATGCATTATATTACTGCAGCACTAAAATTAGGAAAGTATATTACTTTGTCTTGTCAGTTACAAAGCCTTTTTATATTGATTGCTGGTAATGCTACACGTCACATAATCCTCTCAGTACTATGACCTTCCTTGAAGAGGAAGATCCCTTCATTGCTTAAGCTTCATTGTTAGCTGCGAACTGTGCCTGTACTACTTAGCACACAGCTCATGTCTTTGATCTACAGGGAATCTCAGTTTTGTGTTTAATTGGGTTTAACTCTAGTCTAATTTGTTGCTCAATTTCTTTTATATAATGTAATTTACTCAGTGCCTTTATTGGAAGATAGATGTGTTAAAGGGTGCCACAGGTACTTGGGGTCCTGACAGAATATTATGGCTCTCCATAGCTTGTGAACTTGGGCATCATTAGCACTAATAAGGTACAGTGTGGTAAAAAATTGGAAAGAAATTTCATTGTTCAGACATTCCGCATTGCCCAAAATATTTCCCTAAAAGAAATTATTCTAGGATTCGTAAAATGTGCCAAAATGGTTGGTATGTGCCACTTGAATAAAGGATAAGCATGATATTTTGTTTTCTGTTACCAGTTTTGTTTGTTTGAATTATTTTCCAGGTTTTGCTGGAGTATCACAGATCCAAGCATTAATCTGCAGAAACCAGCTTTATTTATTGGATTGACTAAGACTACTTGTACAGATATGACGCCTCTGCCCCTCATGACAATAACGTTGTACAGTACTGGCATATCCACTGTCCATTAAACCAAATTAAGGCCTTTAGCTAGGTTTAAGATCTTGGGTGTGATTCTGTGATACTGACAATAGAATTCTAGAGATTCCCAAAGGTTTAGCAGCAATTTTATATTGTACACGTGAGCCTTGTTGAATTCATAACTTCAGGATAACTTGATTGTTAGTTAAGAATTTGATGAACTTTGTTGATAGTTGTAGTCCGTTTATATCCAAAGTACTGTACTACAGAAAAAATGAATAGTGAAAACTAATTTGGAATTTAAGTGACATTTTGCCTGAATGTTATACTGACAGCCCAACAGTATGATGGAACAACATCTTTTAAAGAGTTTGAAATGAATAATTGACAAATTTTTTATGTAGACAATCGCATTTATAGATGTGGGTGACGTAGACATTTCTTTGTTCCTGCATGACCTACGGTACTGATGGTTGTTGAGATGATAATTCCATCACGACTTTCTGTAATAAATTCGATCTAGAATATAATACATCCATGAATTTGTCCAACATCTTAAAGTTTTCCACTTGGCAGTATTATTGGTGCTATATAAATTCTTACCACTTTTATTATTTACTTGTAACTTTGTACTGTACAGTAGTGTAATATTGGTTTAGTATCAACCATTGGTAAACCTCTGTCCCTTACTGCTGTAGGTCACTAACAGATGGTAACAGGATTAATGGTATTTGAGAATAAGTAGACACAATTGTGGTGCTGTACGTGTTTGTTCATGTACTGTGTGTGTTCATTTGCATTAATTTGGTGTTCAGTATTAGACAAATTATTCAACAAGAACTTTGCATTAATACCTGGGTGGGAATTGTACTGTCCAGCTATGTTCTTCAGAGGAACATAAAGATTATTATTCTTTATAAACTTGTAATGTTTTTCATAATAGGGCTTATAGTCGAAGTTCAAATCTCATTTTTGCTTTAGTAATTAATAATATATTCCAAACTCGGTACGAATGTACAGTACATAACCTTTAGGAAGAAGTTTGTATAGTACTGTTATATTGTAAAAAAAAAGAAAGCTACAACTTGTCCTTGGTTTTCCTTGATCAACTTCTTAACTAACATTAGCAAAGTCTTCATTACTGTAGGGGACGGACACCTGTCCCATCACAATTTATTTTATTCTCGATCAATTCCATATAATTAGTTATCCATTTTTAGATATTAGGGAGCACAGTTCTGTAAAACCAGACTGGTAAAAATCAGTTGCCTAAAAGAATCCCTGAAACAAAATTTGAAGATTAACTTGTAGGAAATTTGGACCTAGGAAAGGTCTGTCAGCAGCTGATATCCTTAGTGATTGCTGTGTATGTATAATCTTGTCAAATGTTAACATCTTGAGGTTTGACAAGCTCTTAATAGTGAAGGAATATATGGTCTGCTGTCGTATCAATTGACCTACAATTAACATTTACTTAGGAGAATTTACAATAATTGTAAAATTAACAAGATTTTACACTGGTCTGCTTAAAGTTTTCATTCACTTGTACTTGTAGGGGTCGAGTGACTGATATGTACAGTTCTTTGGAGCTTGATTTTACAGGTACAGTAGGGTCAGGATATATCGCGAGGAAGGGCACAACGATGTTTGCTATACTGTATACTAAATCGCAATATATAATTACAGTACGATGTAATCAATGGGGAAAATAGGGTTAGTTTCTGGAGGCCAATAAAAGTGACTAAACTTGATGAGTTTATTTTCTTATGAACTAAAGCACCAATGCACACTAGACTCGGGAACAACAGGCCGTTTCGATATCGATATCAAGGAACAACAGGCTGTTTCAATATCAAGGAACACCCGACTCGGCAGCTGATGCACCGTCCCGGGAACATCAGACTCGGCAGCAGACGCCACACTGCCACCATCATATTTTCGTTCCCACATCAACTTAAGAGTTTAATTGTATTTTTTCATTCATCTGTGTCATGTCCAAAGAAGGTCACATACCATAAACTGTACAATCGCCCACAAAAGTCCTGTCGCTTCTCCTGAGCCATGAATTTGTGAACCCAAATCATTCACGGACAGAATACTGCATTGGCGTTTACCGCTTCGATTTGACGAGTCGTGGTTTAAGAGGAGAGGTGACAGGACTTTTGTGGGTGACTACACTATCAACACATTCATGAAACCTCAACAGAATGACTACATTTGAAAACTGTGTAATAATATTCTAATGTGACATTTATTATCACATGTTACTTATGTCAAATGAATAAGAAAACATTTTGATACAGCATATATGTATTATTGTATGCAAATGATAAAAGATAACTAATCGAGTCCATTATTTATGTATCTTGCTTTGGGGTGATATATATTTTTCTTTTCAATGATATACAATACTTTCCTGCATTAAGGTTGTGTTATTGTACTGAAGTGACTAAACTGTGCTGTGAATCTTATGTCCATCATTAATGTAAGAAATTAATAACTGTATATTCTCTGCTGTCCATGGGTGATGTTAAGGGAGTACAGTATGTTGGAATGTCTAAATCAAATTAGTTATCCATGTTGGTGACTTGTGTGAAATTTTCAGTTTGTGTATAATCTCCAAAATATTCTCCCACAACTGAGGAAAGAAATATACAGGGTATGTATGATGCTACAAGGTTCTGGAAGTAATAAAAAGAAAACAATTATACTGTATATGTTTACCAATCCTATCTCGATTTGATATTTTTTCCAGCATATTAGCCATTCAGGCTGTCGGTCTGTTCTTTGGTTAAGCATGTGTGTGTGTCCACCTCACAGTGGGAGGGGGAAGGGGGAGACTTCCCTCAGATTACCTGAAGATTGAAGATAGAACACCTCAGCTTATTTCACCTAAAGCTTTGACACCCCCAGCTTATTTCACCTGAAGATTACACACCCCAAGCTTATTTCACCTGAATATTACACACCCACAGCTTATTTTACTTAAGATTAGACACCACAGCATATTTCAACACACCACACTGCACAACAGCATTGCACTCCAGCCAGGTGCCAATGGTGCCAGGTGGTGATATCCCCCTCCCTCCCCCACTACCCCCCTCCCCACCCCCACACACACTAATTGAAGCAGGAACCAGGGAGGCAACAACACTCACTTTTATTTTTTTACCTTTATCCTCGTCACTTGGGCAGGCGGTCACGCCTCTTTTATGTACTGTTAACAAGTACTTGCCAATAGTGCATAACAGACGTGACCACAGGTGTTGTCAAAAGGTTTTCAGCATGTGTTGTCAAATGGTGTTTCAGCTGGTATTGTCAAAAGGTGTCCGCACATCTGTTGCCAAGGTTCCTGGTGAGAAACTAAGTATCCCAAGTGCAAACACGTATTCAACAGAGATCACAAGTAGCAGGATTTATTTAAATAGAATTACCAACACACACACCCACGTTAGGATTTGCATCAACTCTCGCGCACACATTTACGTACAGTGGTCCCTCGGTTAACGAACACAATTCGTTCCAGAAGGTCGTTCGTTAAACGAAACCATTGTTTCAATGGGATTTTGGGTAATTGGTTCCAGCTCACCGAAAATTACATACAAATTAAAAATAAATGCAGTAAAGTACACTTACTTTGAGGTGTGCATGTAGAAGGCTCCTGGTTGATGATGATGATGATGATGGGAATTAGAAGTGGGGGTGGAGAAGGGAGAAGAGAAGGAAGTGGGGGTGGAAGAGAAATCACCCCATGCTTCATGCTGCCATTTCACCCATAAAATTTTAAGTTTACTTGGTGTAATTCAGGATTATTTTCTTTAAATCAACACTGCACTGCACTATATATTGTCAATATGTAAAATAAATTTCAGAATGACCAATAATAGTACTGTAAAAATAGTTTATGTTCAAGAGAGTCTCAAGCAAGATGTTACCGGTACCTGTTTGGCGCGCTAAAAACTAGTTTCCTGTACTTCAATTATGTTCATTAATTGTTAAAATGACTAAAAATTTTAATAAATTTTTTTTCAAATTATTGAATAGTACAACCTTCTTGATATTTACTCTAATGGGAACGAATTTAAGCCCTAGAACTGATTACTGTATTGGTGGACTAATATTCCAGCTGGTGAGCAAGCGAAAACATGTTGAGAAGAATTCGTAAGGAATTCGTTAACCAAATTGAAGATTCATATGGAAGGTAATGCGTTAACCGAGGGATCACTATAATCGCATACAGTATTCCCTTTACCAAACTCTAAGAACGTGGAGTAGAAATTAAAATATAAAAAATAAATACATTTATCTTTTTACGTTTTTACTTTTATTCTCTTCCCTTTTGGACCCATCCACATATTTTTCAATGTCTTTCTATTTTGTATAACTTTTTATCGTGTCATGTGTCAGCGAATTAATTGGGGTATCAAATTCTCATACACTGTTGTCAAGTACAGTGGGGTATGCTATTGTAGTGGAATTCTCCCCTACAAACGCTGTTTGTCGCTGCCTAGCCGACCCCACCAATTCCCCAGTGTATGCCTCGTGGTCTAGATCAACCAGCGCCGCCATACATCACGGAGCGGGGGTCAACTGCTAAGCCACGCCTACCCCTGCTATTTGAGACCTGACCTCGTGGTGATCTCTCTCTTTCTACCTACAGCCGCAGCCAGCAACACCTCCTCCTCCGCCGCTGCCTGGCGGCCTTCCCTCGCTCCTCCGCCTGCCTGGCGGTCCTCTCTCCCGCTGGCGAGCATGGCGACCCACAAGCTGTCCTTCTCTGAGCGTCCTCACCAACCAGCTCTCTCTACATCACGCTTGTAACCATGCTGCCTTCCCAGCACCAAGCTGCATTGTACATCCAATACAATATGTATATAGAGAGCACATTGTGAGTTTCCTTTCTCCATCCTATCCTGAGTGTGAACCAAACATATCATACCCCACAAATGGTGACCCCGGAGTGACCCGAACACCCTACTACTACTACCACTATTACTACTACTACTACTACTACGGATCCTACTACGAATATTCCTATAACGAACGGTTTTACCTATAAAATTGAGAATGCTATAACGAACGAAACTCCTACAACGAACATTATTTAAATTTATTTTTTCTAATTTATTGTTTTTTATTACAAATATTAATGATATTCTATATTTCAAGGGTTTAGATGCATATTTATGCACTTTTTTACAATTTTTACAATTTTATATTATATTTTTCAGTGTTAAGTGGTTGTATTTGGGGGCCTGGAACGGATTAATCCTATAACGAACGAATGCTATAGCGAACAAGGTTCTAGAACCAATTAGATTCGTTATAGCATACCCCACTGTGTGGAGGACATTGGGGCTCTTGAATGCATCTAATATTTAATAAGCTTGACTCAACCTTATTACTAAATTTATAACACACATTGAAGATCACACACACTGCACATGGTAATTAATCCCTTCACCAATACCCGGCTCCTCCCTTCCCTGTAATTTTTCACCCTCTCCTACCCCTCTTCAGCTGTGAGAAAGGTAGCTTTATACCTCAAGTTATCAGTCTAGTGGAAGAGCACCACACACACATCTGTTGCCGCTCACACACACTGCAAGGCCACACAAAGAATTTAAAATAGTATACACATGAATTATCGTTGTGATTTTGATTGAAGTTTTAGTTATATTGATAGAAAAAAAATAATTAAAACTGGCTAGATCATTGAGGGAAATACTTGTAATCAATAGAAACAAGAGAAAAAATTACTTTGGTTGTATAAGTATTGTAGGTAGGGATGATTGTAGAATGATAGACTATCACATATTCTGCCCTATTAAAGTGTGAAGTCGAGGGTGAAGGAGTGGGATACGAGTTATTTTGGGTTCACACTCAGGATGGGATGGAGAAAGGAAACTCACAATGTGCTCTCTGTATACATATTGTATTGGATGTACAATGCAGCTTGGTGCTGGGAAGGCAGCTTGGTTACAAGCGTGATGTAGAGAGAGCTGGTTGGTGAGGACGCTCAGAGGAGGACCAGCTTGTGGGTCGCCGGCAGGAGCGAGGGCCGCCAGGCAGCGGCGGAGGAGGAGGTGTAGCTTGCTGCGGCTGTAGCTAGAAGATAGTGGTCACCACGAGGTCAGGTCTTTTATAGCGGAGGTAGGCGTGGCTTAATAGTTGACCTCCGCTCCGTGGGCGGCGCTGGTTGACCTAGACCACGAGGCATACACTGGGGAATTCACGGGATCGGCTACTCAGCGACAAACAGCGTTTGTAGGGGAGAAATCCACTACAAAGGGCCAGGCCAGTATTTTAACTGATCGGTTGATTTATCTTGTATCTTTCAGAAAGAAAACCTTTTTGTAAATGTCAGTAATGTGTGTGTGTATGCGCGAACTAGTAGTAAATGCATATGTAGGTCTAACACACACTATATATATATATATATATATATATATATATATATATATATATATATATATATATATATATATATATATATATATATATATATTTTTCTTCTTTCCTTGTGGTTATCAGCATATACCTAGATCACGCGCACCTACAGTGATTTACTTGCATATATATATATATATATATATATATATATATATATATATATATATATATATATATATATATATATATATATATATATATATATATATATGTATATATACTTTATCAGTCAACATATCTGTTTAACATTTATATATTTATTATCCATTATTATTTGTTACGCACTCCATTCGATTTTGTCAAGAGAATGAATGAAAAAAAAATCAATAAAAAGTAGGTCTAGGCTAGGGTCAACCAGCAGCTGCAACGTCTCACAACTGTCACTTCTGGCATGAAGGGGACAGTTGCGTTTAACATACTTTTAGATTACTATGTTTTAAGATTTTGGGTATCATTTATCTGTTAAAGGGTCATTGTAATAATTATTATTAATAAATCCTTAAAAAATATATTATTTATTTTATTTCGATATTAATATCAATAAAAACAAAAAACAAATGACTAAAATTAGGTAAAAGAAATACCTTTAAGCGTTGATAGTATATTTATCCCATAAGAACGCATGGAATTTACTCGTACCCTTAAAACTAGTCAAAACTTATCATACTTAAATAACTACAATTAAGATAATTGATTATTGGCTTAAAACATAGATTTAAAATTAAAATTTAGTAATAATTTTATTATTACATTATTTGAAATGTCGTTGTTTTTTTTATCTAGTAGAGAGAATTTAGGTAATGACAATAGTCCTTGTTTTACTTTTTGTTAACTGTGACGTGTACTTGTTGTTTTCCGTCAGTAGACACTCAACAAGTAGCAGAGATGGACCTGTGGTGGCTTCTCACCTTACTTTTACCTCTCTTATGTGTTACTTACGCTCAGAATCCTCACAGGAGGTTCGAATATAAGTACAGCTTCAAGGGACCTTACCTAGCACAGAAGGATCACCAGGTTCCCTTCTGGCAATACAGCGGCAGTGAGTATTGTGGTCACCGGCCACGGGTCGTCTGCTAACATATGTTTACTGCATAAATCTTGTAGTACACCACCAGTCACCACCTAACTGTGGGGGCGATATACTCTCACTGCATCAGTTTTTAAGTTAGTCGGGATAGGCTACACTTGTGGGGTAATTTTGTGTTTGACCTGTTGGCAGAAAGATGCTTTTAAAATTGACCTTAGTGTGAGCCTGATGCTGTCTCGCTCACCCATCACTTATGAACCTGAACCCCGCATGCTTCTCTGTTGGCCGGTGTAATGTTTTTGTGCTTCACTTTACACGGGATGTAAGGGGATAGCCAGCCCTCAGAATCTGTATCTGCTAGTTAGGTGTGCAAGTTATTACATTGTTAACATAGTCTTAATCCACATGTTGCTGACAGTCTGTCTCCTCCTGACGTCATCTAAAATACATCACTACACATAGCCCATCACTGAAAAAATCAAGTTTATTTTCACATGCATATTAACAAAGTAAATGTATACCAAACTATTCAAGTGGATCATCTTAGGTGTGATTTGGGCATCATTATCGTTTCGGTCATCTAGTGAATTTCACGATTTTAAGTTGCCACCATCCGAGAGCGGTTTAGGGTAGATTTAGTTTTACCGCTGGTTTTTTATGTCTTTTGAATCATTCTGACATACTTCCAAATACAGTAGAAGTCCAAAAATCCGGACTGCTTGGGGATTGGGTCGGTCCGGATTTTCGGATTTTCCGGATTCTCAGGCAGTACTTTTAAAATTAAAATTTAAGGAGGAATAAAGAAGAGATGAACAGGTACATTTTGATAGTTTATTCATTAGCAAATAAAGCATGCTTCATTTTTCAAAACGAGCAGTTTTAAAGAAAAATAAAGTCAACACTAGACAAAAATGTAAACAAACTGTCTAATACCTTGACGAGTCTTGAAATTCCTAAGCCATCCATCACTAAATGTGCACTCTGATTCAATGTTCATTTGCTCCTTAAAAGACTTTGTTTTGGCAATAAGCATCGGCCCAGAAATTGCCATACCTTCTGATCGTTTTAACAAAAACCATTCGTGCAACACTTTATCAAGATTTTTTAATTTGGGCCAATGTAAACTTTTTCTTTCAGCAATTTTAATGTAAGGCTCAGAAGAAGCTGTGAATTCTAGAATTTTATTCTTTGCCTCTTTTATATCATAAATTGTAGACTTTCCAATGTATGTTTCCATTAGAACAGCATTGCTCACACCACGTTCTAGTTTCTTAATTATTTCAAGTTTGTCACTCAATTTCAATGTGTTCTTCTTTCTCTTCACACAACGAAGTTTATCTACTTTAGGGGCCATTATTATGGGCTTGTACTCTGTACATGGAAAGAGTAGGACTCAAAATTACACATGTTGTCACAGTTTGATTGCTTGTTTTAAAGTGGCGACCGTGTGGTCGTTTATTGTCGCTGTACAGCTGTGGCATTCATGCATGCACACATACACACAAAAGATTTATAGTGCCACAAATTTTACATTTGAGGACAAGCTAATTACAAAACTAACAAAATTAGCTACCTATAATTTACAATTACTTTTATTATTAGAATTAGGTAAATTAATTTTTTAAAGGAACGCCATTCATTCACGTAACCCACAAAAGCCCGCTAAATTTAAAAGTTTTAAAGTTTTTGAAAAGTCCGGATTCTCGGGTGGTCCGGATTTCTGGCATCCGGATTTTTGGACTTTTACTGTAGGTGGATGACCAAAACGATAAATTTACCCTTATTTCCTTATTTTGCAACACTAATAGTTTTATGAAATCTATAAATAAGCAATGCGTCATCATTTTCCTGCTGTCACCATAGTACAGTAACTTACTCTTCCAACTCGGGTGAGAAAGAGACTGGTCACTCACACTACACACATACAGGACTCGACAGAGGCACTAAGATGATGGGTTTAGGAATTTTATTTATAGAATATTAGTTTTTTTTATCTATTAAGTAAAAATATTTGGTAATATCATGTTTTAAATGTCCTCCCTGACTTTAGATAAATACAATTTATCCTTTATATTGTGAAGGCTACAGTGGTGCTGATCATCTTACTCTTACCCAGGTTAATATCACACTTAATTTCAGTAGAAGATATGGTAACAATCACTTGACAAAAATATACAAATTGATTTTCAGGATATCAGTGTGTGGTAATACAGGTAATTGGGTAACTTTTCAAATTCACTAGTTCACAGAAATTTTCCACTAGCCTGTAATTGTATTTGAAATGTGTGGGGGATATATTGTGAAAAAAACTCGCAGTGGTGGAAACAAACATTGCCTCACAAAATGGGTACATTGTAAGTCTTATTTGATTATAAAAAATGTAACATGACGACAGGCCGGTGGTTGTAGTGGTGACGGAGTGCAATGTGTGTGTGTATGGCTGACATGGATGATGCTATAGGCGCTCATCATCTGCTCTCCTCCCAGAACGCTTACCGTCACCATTTGAATTATTTTACCAAAATCTTACCAATTTCCTGAGGCTCCATGCATGTTGAACTGTTAAAGTTTGGGCTGTTAGGTGACAAGTCAAACGTATGCACACACTCCCGTCATCACTCGTAAAGCAGGTTTTTCTTTTGTTAAAATTTTTCTCCATTAATCTACCCAGGCTACTCTAACATGGGTATCATATCATTCCACAGATGCAATCGCCAGCGAGGAGAGCGTTCGTATCACACCATCACTACGGAGTCAGAAGGGCCAGATATGGACCAGAAGCCCCACCAACTTTGAATGGTGGGAGGTTGACTTTGTCTTCCGTGTGACTGGCAGAGGGAGAATAGGTGCTGATGGCTTGGTTAGTGGACTTTACCTTCAGTCTTTCATAAATTGGACATACATTATAAATAACACAACATACAGTAGATTGTTTTCGCTGTGTTCCCTGGTTCTGTTCTCCAGTGCTGTTTATGGCAGGTTGTAATAAAAAATTGATTATACTGTACCTGTATTATTAATTTTCAATCTTTCTCTGCATTGTTTTGAGTTTATGGCAATGTATTTATTGTTAGCTGTAGCTGTAAACCCAGGCTTGTTATATACTGTACCTCGTCTTTATAAACCACCTCAGCAACAACACAGCCCTCTCTCTTGACCATCAGTGCTAAACCAGTCATTAATCCATTTAATTCTCATATAGACACTTATGTTTCACCACCTTGTATTTTAAGCCCAGGTGTATATTACTCCTGTGGTTAAGTTAAATCTTTAGTATTTTTTCTCTACACAGTACAGACAGTTAAAATTTCTGTGCCTTCCTTTCACATTTAGTTTTACAGTAGCTTATCTTTTCATATCAACACATGTGTTCTTACCAGTACAGTAGATTTATTTTATCAAATGATAAAGCTTAGTGTAATAAGTCAGTTCCAAGGAAAACTATAGATAAGTTCATTCTTAACCTAGTGAAGCATGTACTGTCACTCATTATATTTGATACTTTCCATTGTAGAGACTTTGCCATATTTTGATTTACTGTACAAGACAATGCTACCTAGTAATTTTCTTCATTATTCAATCATTGGCAAAGTTGTTCTCTGTTGTAGGTAAAGATGGTTACTATCAAAGACTATACACATGTATAAGAAAGACGGGAAAGTTAGGCAAAAACCCGCGTAATCCACCCAGCATATAGTTGGCCGCGGGATGAACAGATGGCGTTAGTGTGCAAGGCGCTGGTCGTCTGTACGTTGTCTGTTTGTCTACACAAAGACCAGGACATTTAACCATGAGTGGGCGTCACCATCACCCGTGTGCCGTATGCACACGTACAAAAACAGATGACCCTGAGCTTGTGTTTCATATTTTCACATTGCTATAGATCATTGATCATATAGAATTGACTGTGTGATATTAATAATAATAATAATTAACGGTTTATTGAAAAAATTCTGCAGCCCGAAGGCTGAAAATATACATTGGACATAAATGACTTATTACATACATTGGTGGTTTAACAAAAGCCTTCATTAGAGAAAGGTAAAGGAACATACAGTGAACATACAGATTAATGTAGGTGTTGAACAGCAAACTCGTAGTGTAGTAACTCCCTCCCAGATGGTGTTAGGAGGAACTCACGTGGTGTAGTAGTTCCCTCAGATGGTGTTATGAGGGACCTTGCGTGGTGTAGTAATTCCCTCGCAGATGGTGTTATGAGGGACCTCACGTGGTGTAGTAACTCCCTCGCAGATGGTGTTATGAGGGACCTCACGTGGTGTAGTAATTACTTCACAGATGGTGTTATGAGGGGCATCACATGGTGTAGTAATTCCCTCACAGATGGTGTTATGAGGGGCCTGACGTGGTGTAGTAATTCCCTCACAGATGGTGTTATGAGGGGCCTGACGTGGTGTAGTAATTCCCTCACAGATGGTGTTATGAGGGACCACGTGGTGTAGTAATTCCCTCACAGATGGTGTTATGAGGGGCCTGACACGTGGTGTAGTAATTCCCTCACAGATGGTGTGATGAGGGACTTGACGTGGTGTAGTAATTCCCTCACATATGGTGTTATGAGGGACATGTGGTGTAGTAATTCCCTCACAGATGGTGTTATATGAGTGAGGTTTGGTCTTAGGCCTTCCTATCGTAGACGGATTAACACATCGCTGGTTGTTGTTGGGTCTCACGGGCCGTTATCACTGGGTCCTTGGGACCTCACTGTGTGATGGTTAACTTGGGTACGATTGTTACTGTTGAGTTGTTCTCACTGACTTAAGCACTGTTCACCTCTGTTTAACACTGGTTCCGTTCCTTTCCTAAATGAAATTGTAACTTCTGGCGAGAACTTGTTGATATTCCGGTGGGGAGGAGGGTTCAGGGGAGGAGGTTGGTATGGGCCAACTTAACAGTTGACCTGGCTGCTCCGAGAGGAGCGCCAGGTACGTCTTGACCCTTCGCTGTGTGTGTGTGTCAGTCAGTGTATGTGCATGTGTACAGAATAAGAACGTCAAGCGAAGACGTCAAGGTAATATCAGCTCACTGCTGGTTACCATGGAAACATGGACATGCTACCCCTCACGTGCCCCGTGCTTTTAGTTAGCTGCATTGTCAACAGATGGCGTTGATTGGAGCTCAGTGGCTCACGTTTTTTTATCAATAATGGTAGACGCTTTCCCGTCTTTCTTATATAGTCTTTGGTTACTATAAAGACCTTTTTGATTAATATATTTTATTTAAAGTTTAGATTCGTGTTGATATGACTGACTCTCTGTGACAGGCCGTGTGGTTTTGTGATAAACCTGGCGTGGAAGGTCCTGTTTTCGGTAGTATGGATAAATGGAATGGTCTGGGAATATTCTTCGATTCTTTTGACAATGATAACAAAAGAAACAACCCTTACATAATGACCATGGTCAACGACGGCACCAAGGTCTATGATCATGAACAGTAAGTACAGTGCTTATTTATAATCAGTCATTGTTGGAAGTATGGATACAGTATTTCTTGTGGCTAAAAGAAAGAAGCAATTTAATTAGCCTTTATCTCAGGTTGTTTGAAATTTGTGCTTCAATGTTTATTAAAAGAAAAAATCTAGAAATACAATTAAGTAATAGTATTTTGATTTAGTAGCTTATCACCAGTACAGTATAGGTAGAAGATAATACAGTATTATGATGGTAAGAATTTCAGTATATACACTAATAGTTACTGTATATTTTATTTAAGTATTTTAAGCATTAATCATTATTAAAAAATTTTTTTACTACTGCTACTCAGTGATGGACTGAGCCAACAACTTGGGGGTTGTCTACGAGACTTCCGAAACAAACCTTTCCCAGTGAGAGCGAAGGTTGAATATTATAAAAATACCCTAACTGTGAGTATCCTTATATCTCGGTTGGCTGATGGTGGTCACATTGTTTATGGTTAAGTGATTGTCTTTATATGATTGCAACTCTTGACAGCTGTAGTAAGTAGTCATAAATATTTCCTGAAATATGTTTAGTTGGAATGTTTGAACATTGATTTGTATGCTTATATGAAATTTGGGGTGACTACATCAAGTTTGCAGTCAATCATTCTTTCTAATTGGTGACCTGACCACAGGTAGTGTATACATCCTCTTAGAAGAGGGTTGGACTAGTGTTCTTTCTGGGAAATGAAGTGAAAAATAAGATGGTACAGTATGTGCTTGTATGGGCCAAGAGTTGTACTGGGCAGCCTCCAGTAATGACCCTCACACCACTCAGCCGTCCTTCAACTCTACCATCCCAGGCTGAGAAGTTCACTCAAATTGTCTCCCTCTCCCGTCCCTCTCTATCCGTCTCCCCCACAAAGCATTATGGTGACACAGTGCCTTCTTTAATTACTTTGATCACTTTATATACATATGCAGTATATTTACTGCTCGCTGCTGATGATGTGTCTCTGAAGTACAGTACAGTACCTGGAGAAATCTGTCAGGCTCACTTAGAACTTCTTTAAACTGTGGATTATTATTTATTCTCATGAAGATCTCATTGGTTTATGAAGACTGGTGCATCTGTCCCCTCACCCTCTCCCTCCTCCCCTCCCCCATATGCTTAATTTACTGGTCAAAATCTAGGTGTTACTTTCCTACCCAGTTGTGTAGTTGTGAATAACACCTTATCTTTATTGTTGTCTATTTACTGCAATTCTCCCTTGAGGACTGATTGATTGTGGTAATTACATCCCTGGCATCTCTCCCTTGAGGAAATCTTGATGAACTGTATATCTCCCTCCTGCTGGTGAACTATGTACTGTATTAGCCACAACTGTAACAAACTCTGAGCCTGGGTTGTGTCACTGGATGGCCTGGTGGAGTGGAGAGCATGTGCTGGAGCTGCCTTACACAGTTAAAGCCTCTGCATGTACTCGTACCCTCGTTTATCTCCGTTGTCCACCGAGGTCACGCCTTCAGCCTTGCTCGTAGGTGGTTTATAAATATTCCGACATAGTTGGATGAGCCTGCAATGGAAAGTGGAGTCTCATGTTGCATAATAATTCTTATTTTTGAATATTGGTGTTACAGCCCAATGGGTTATGAACCATTTTCCCCATAAATATCAAACTGACCACTTGTGGACTTTTAAATACCATAATATGAGAGAATTTATTTATTATATAAAATACTGTACTGTATGGTACAGTATTTGAAACTGGCTGCATGTTTATTCCTTATTTTTTTTTCATATCTACTTTTTTTCATTTTTTGTATAATGTAACTGAATGTGTTAATAATATGGAGACATACAAGGAGTTTAGGTAGGCTTTGTGGGAATAGATGTGAACTTGAGAATAGATTGAACAGAGAGAAAATTAGAAGGAAAATGCAGTCAGGAGGTTGTGTAAATTTTTGATAGAATTTTGAAGTGATACAGAGAGAGGGAGCAGTGATGAAAGTGAGACGACTAGCCAGAGACTGGGATTATGTGGATGAGTGGAGTTTATTGACTGATGGTCCAGGATCATGTGTGGAGCATGTATGTACTGACCATCCAGGTGTGTGTTTGTCTCTCCTTTTAATGATGAAATGGAAGTTTATAAGTAACAGTACAATACTCTAAAAAATAGGAACAAAGTGTTCCTAGAATGTACTGCTACTAGGTTTATTATCTTGTACAGTATTAATATATTGTATTACTGAAATGCACAGTGAACAGCATCCCCAGTAATTTGTATACCTTTTGGGGTCTTTCATTGATCGTTGTGCTGGAATAGGGTACTGTAGGCTTTATGTTGTCGAGGCTGTAAACTTTCGGGCTGTGGCTTTATTTTGACACATAACTGTACTGGACACATGCAGGTGAAGACACAGCTGCTTGAGTATGATTATACCAAGCTAGAGGAAGAAGGTGACCAATATGCATACAGTATTACGTCCAAGCCTGAGGGTACAGAACCACCACTTAGGTCAGTGGAGGGCAGCCCATCCCAGGATCCTCTCTCTACTTCATATCCTTCCGCTGACTTGACGACGTCTTCTCTGCCTCCGGGAAGTGATGATTATACAGCGACGACTTCACAGCCTCCGAGCGATGTTGATTCAACGACCATGTCCAGTTTTTTTGGTTTTGGAGGGGAAACCGCCTCGTCGACTCCATCTCCCAATGACGAGTCGACCACCACAACGGCTAACCCTGCAGTACTTGGTGATGATGACTTTACCAGAGATGTTTTGGATGCTGGCCACCTCTTTGTGGAGACTGTCCACAATGCTGCAGAAGATGAGTTGTCAGCTGGGTGGGGATGGTTGGGAAGTGACGAACCCACAGTAACCACCACACCCAAGCCAGAGAAGAAGAGACGAAGGAAGAAGCAGAGGAAGAGGAGAGGGAGGAGTAGGAAGAAGGTCCAGAGTAATATTCCGGTAGGAGGGCATGATGGAGTGTGACCCTGAGTGATGGAGTGTGACCCTAATGCCCTGTATCTGGAATGATTTAATGCCATTCTTTATCTGTGATGATGAGATTTTTTTCACCATTTCTTTAGTTCAGCTTGTGATGTTATAGTTGTCATCAAATTTTGATACTATAAAGTACTATACTACTCAGTTGTAGAGCTGAGTAAAGGGACAGTCAATAAAAAGTATCGACCACCCTGCCCTACCTAACAATATGAAACATGATGTTGAAGCCACAAATGCTGTACAGGTACCTGTGGTTACCGGCATCAGTTGATTATCATCTCTCTCTCTTTCTCTCTCTCCCTATTCCACCTACATTTGGGGTGGTCAGTACTTATTTTACCGACTGTACATAGGATTTTTTGGGTAAGTGCATCACAATGGCTATAATTATTTATAGACTCTTACGGGAACTACCCAACTCCTCTCTGTCCATGAAGGTGTTGTACAGTTCAATTAGGTTTTGGAAATCAGATATTATAACTGTTTAGCCCATTTTTTTTAGCATAGAAAATGTTTTATATATCTACATATTGTATTTAGAAAGGAAAATATTTTACTTAACATACTAAAACTGTCATAGCATACAAATGTAATCCTGTGCTGTGTTAGAGTGCTTCAGTGAATTATCTATATATTGTCTAATTTTTCATGTATGCTTTTAAATCATGGCTTTTGTTTGTTTTTTGGCTCATAAGAATGAATTATAAAGACAGGGATGGCATGTTAGTGATCTTCGTGGATGATCTGCATTACCTAGAGAATCATAATTTTTAGTCTTGGTATATTTCGTACCTGGTGTGTTTAGTGGTTGTTGCCGCTGTCTACAAGTGGCTCATATCGTGCCCCGTCAAATTTTCCAAGGCTTTCATTAATGCCAGAATAAACATTTGAATTTGTGCATCTTTGCGAGTAACGTCTCATAGTGTGTGTGTGTGTTTTTCTCCTCGGCCTCTTATATAAACTCCATATTTTGTACTGTGTGAAGTGTTGTAACAAGAGTTGGTATGATCTATAGCCAGTGTCCACATCCTGACTGAAGAACTTAATGAGTGTAATATTAATAGTCCTACTTCTCGCGGCATTTGTTACTGTCGTGTTGGATGTCTTGTGTTTCCTTAACTTTGTGGTTTTTGGTGTGTGTTGTGTGCTGATATTAAAGCACTTTTAATTTTTTTACTGACTTTATTGTATTTTATAATTTTTTGATGTAAAATCTTGAAAGGTTTTTGTTTGTCATTTTTCCGGGAATATAAAATTACAATTGGAATAATCATGTTTCAGGATTATTTTTTTATTATACTGGAACAAATACATTAGAATTAATTTGCTCTGTTAAATATTTACGTGACGTTCGGTGAGTGATTGTATTTTTGATGTCTCGAGTTTTACCGAGAATTTTTAAACTTATAGCTGATGATCCACAATGGCATGACGAACAATGAAAAGGATTACGAGATCTGTATGCGTGCCGAGAACGTGTATCTGCCGTCATCTGGCCACTTTGGAGTGTCTGCGGCAACGGGCGGGTTAGCCGATGACCATGACGTGAGTTTACTTCCTCTCTATTGTTAGATTTAACTCATTCTCTGCAGCCCTATTTTGACCAACTTTCATTCTCTCCTAACCTTTTCTTCCTTCATTCTCTCCTACTCTTTTCTTCTTCCATTCTCCTAACCTTTTCTTCCATCATTCTCTTCTACCCTTGGTCTCCCTCACACTTCAGTTCAATTTCAAGTTAACTTTTATATTGTAGCTTCATGTAGCCAAGTCAACATTAACAACATTTGGTTCATTTTTCTTGGTTGGTTTCGTCATGTGTGTATGACCAGTCCCAAGTCCTGACTTGTATAATAAGTACCGGGTATTTCCTTTCACACTGTACATATTACATGAAGGTGTTTTTTAGGAGGGGCCTAATAACTTTTTATTCTTTTATCGTAGGTCCTGAAATTCCTCGTGTCGTCGGTGCGGTCCCCAGAAGAGATGGCATCGCTGCAGACCAATCAGGAAGAGGAGGAGAAGTTCCGACAAGAGTTCCAGGAGTACCAGGAGAAGACTAAGAAGGCCCGCGATGAGTGAGTCTCTCCAACCTTGTTTGTGTCATCAACACCAAATTGATATTATGAATTGTAAAGGAAAGAAAAAACCAGTACCCATACATAATTATACAAGTACAGGTGTAGATGAGTAACTGATTTAAAGTTTTAGTGAGTTAAGATGAGCATTATTTTGTGATGGTTGTGTTGGAAAAAGCTGTTTTGGTAAGTGTGTGAAATAAGGGTTGTAGTCAGTGGTGGGTTAAGGTATAAGGAGGGAAAGACTTTTATGAAGATTTTTGGTGGATGAGGCACAAGAGGGAGAACCTCTGATGAGAGTTGAGGTGCAGAAAGTAAGGAAGTGACTTTAGTGTGAGGTGAGTGGGGATATGGTGCAGTAGGTGTATAGTAATATTAGACAGCACCAAGGTAAATTATATGATAGAGGATTATGATTTCCTGTTACCATGTTCTGCCAATGTAACCTTTATGGATATTAAGGGGTGGAATTTATATTGTACTGTATATGTACATGAATAGGTAAACCTTGGTTATTATTCTTCTACTGGCCCCTTTCAGGCTTGTACCTTATCAGTTATCAGTGCTTCGTGTTTTGTTGTAGCACTTGAGGTAGTCACGCCACAGTCAGCAGCCCACGGTGTACACCCACCTGTCAGCTTCCCACCAAATTGTTTATACTATACAAGTTGATAAGATAAAAACTACCTTGAAGTAGCTGTTCTTGGTGTGTAATGAATGTATTATGAACTTTTATAACTCCTTGTCATATTAAGTCCATAAGGAAATATCTTAGTTCTTTTTTTCCTTTGGTTATATTCACTTTGTTACTTGCAGCTATACACAACAATGTTAGTTTTTAATGAGCCTAAATTTTAAATAATAATGAACATCAATATTAAGTTGAGTCAACTGTTCTTCCTATGTGTAAACCTGTCATCATTTTTGTTGTAATTTAAAATTTATTTTGAATTATCAACAAGGCTTATACTATCCTGGATAATAAGAGCAGCCCACCGCAGCTCATGGGAATCTTCCATACTTGTAGCTCATATCCCACAGTCTCACACCTTTAGAATTGATACAGTACAGTACCTCATTTAATTTGTCTCTTTTAATTGCTCTGTAAATATCCTTTTTTTTTCCCATAAACTCGTAGCTATAATTTTCCTCAGGATATTCACCCACAAAAATTCTATAAACATTTAATTTCTTTATGCTAATTCACAAATGAAAATAAGCTGTCCTTAAGAGTAAGAGGATTGTTCTGTCAGAAGTGGATGTCATGTGTTATTTATGGTAAAACTTTGGTATTTCCATTCAGGTACATTGCACAGAACCCCGATGCTGTACAGAAAGACAAAGATGAGGAATATGAGTCTTGGGAACAGAGGGAACTGCGTCAGATATACAATGGACAGAGTCAAGTAAGTATCTCGTTTCCATTACTGTGATCAGAGAGAAGGTTGTGCGATAAGTGAGAGCTTTGTGGTAGTTTGGTGATAGTATATGGTATATCGATCAACTTGGCTGCTTGTGGACTTCGTGTTTTGAGGGACTTTTGTTGTCCTGCCTCCCATGATTAGTCTGCTGTGAGCACATTCATTTTACTTTATTAGACAGCTATAGTATGTACAGTACCTTATACTGTACTCTTATATTTAACACATGCCTTTGGTGATTGCTCTTTTCCTGCCTCTCTTATTACTTTATCAGTCCTTTGCATTTCTCGGTTCTAAAGCTCTACAGGAATAAATATTAATAAAACAAATGTTGAATTGGGCATTGGCTATCTGAGGCTGATGGATCTTTTCAACAATACAACATTCTATGGTTAATAGTATAGAAACTCACTCTCTTCTCTCTTGCTGTGCTGTAAGGTATTTTTTAGTTTATGTAAGGTACACAGCGGAGGGAGAGGGAGCACTGAAAGAAGGAGTCAGGTGGATTATAATAGTGACTAAGGAAAAACTTAATAATCTCTGAAGTATAATGTGGAGTTTGAGGTATGCAGAGCCATCACGTGTGTGTTGTTCTTTCTCCAGATCCACGAGGTCATACGGCAACTCCACATCAAGATGGATGAGATCATTGGGCGACAAGAACGTACGCTTGGCTTAGTTTCAGCAGTCCACTCAGGAATGGGTAAGTTGCAATTTACTGTTATAATGGTAAATACAGTATCTGTATATAATATAATCCTGGTTGCATATTTAGAGGCATTTTTACGTTAAACTTTGATCCTGGTTACGGCTTGCCAAATTTAATTACATTATTGTGTGAAATTTTTTATTTTCCAACTCGGTGGTGCCTTGGGCCTCCATGCACAAGATTCCCATGTAGCCAGTGTGTTTAGTTGTATCCTGTGGCATTAATATTAGTATCTGCTACATATTGATGAAAAAAAAACCACACCATACTGGCCCAATATTTTCCTCAGAGCATTCACTGTGGGTCCCAAGAATGTAAAAGGTTTATAGTCTTGTCACCATCTTGTATAAGTCACAACTTTACATCATTATATACAGTATATCATATTTGACTAACTTTTTTCTTGTCATGCTGCCAGTGTTATGTACAGTCAGGGTCAGAAATCTTGAACACTAGACAGTATTTGGCATGTCAGTACCTGAAGATCTTAGGTATTAAGGAGAGTTTTATCCTATTTTGTGGTTCAGGCATAATATGTGATGACAAGTAGTGTTATTAGTATATCCCAGTCATACCTGTATATGTATAACTCAGAAGTAGATGCCAGATATTGCTAAGTGTTCAAGACATTTGACCCTGATTGTACATCTTTTTAGAATTTTAGGTCATATATTTTGTGAATCTACTCGCACATCAGTTTTACTAATACTTTGCTGCTGTTCATAATGTTCCTCACTTCACAGATCTACATTATAACACTTAAATATTTAGTAATCACCACAATTGTAAGTGATAAGTAGTTGTCTAAACACACCTACAGTATCAGTGTTAATCACTAACTTGTGTTGGTATGTGTAATACAGTACTATATTATATTTGTGTTAGCAGGAGGCCAGGGATTGCCTGCAGGTCAGGTTCCCTCTGTAGCACCAGTGGCTGCTCTCCCAGGTGACTCCATCCGTCGCCATGAAGTTGACAGTATCCTTAACAACCAGAGAGACATTGTTCAGACAGCACGGGATATACAGTAAGTAAAGACAGTACTTGGGATATACAGCAGGTAAAGACAGTACTTAAAGCAGTCTTTGTCCTGTCAGTGTGAATGTGTCAGATGAATGTCCTCTGCCTGATGTGATCACTGCAGAATTTTTTTAATGAATGGTTGTGAATTCAGTATATTTATCTTAATTTTTGCAGTGTGTTAATATTATACACTTGGTTTACCTGAGGTAAAACACTCATATAATGCAGTTTAGAAAATACAGTTGACTTTGACAGTAATCTTCGTAGTGTTAATAATCAGCAGCTGTGGTATTTGTCTTGTGTGTTCACTCTTGTATTAATATGTCATAATTGTCTCTCATGTGTCCTCATCTGTGCTTTTTACCTGCAACAGGAAATTTGTTAACGAGATCCACCAAAAGAGTAATCAGCTTTTGAGTACCAGTCAGAAGCCACAAGGCACAGTTCAGCCTGTTGGCTATGACTTACATGTCACCCTCAATGAGATGAAGGAAGGCCTTAATATTGTCAGGGTAAGTACAACTGACCAAGAGGTTGTGTTTATTATTATTGGAAGTTATGGTAGGTAGTATTGATATATTTCACCTTCATCATGGAGTACATCAGTTAATTTTTGCCTTCATGGTTAGTTAACGGTGAGAGTTTTTCGAGATTTAGTTTAAAAATGGTGAAACTGGAAAATATCGGGTGTGTGTGTGTGTGTGTGTGTGGAATTTGTAAAAAGAAAATTTAGGACAGGGGTAACTACTACATGTATCTGATGTATGGGAATTATTTTTGGCAGCGTGACCTTGGTGCAGCCACCCAGAGAATGTCAGCAGGCCCAGGAGGAGTAGCTTGTCCCACAGTCAGCTGTGTGTCAACAGGCTTGTTTATTGCCTTCATGGTTATCCAGGTAGTTCTACTCATTGGCTATATTATGTACAGGTGAGCACCCAGTTTTATAATGGTTATCATATAATAACTTATAAATGTAGGGAGCAGCTTTTTTGGTGGTGGTGGATGGATATGTATTCGTCTTTTCTTCATTATTGTAATAAAGTTTATTGTGTATGAATGTATTTTAACATTGTATGCATATATATTTACATGTTTGCTTGAACACATGCATTTTTTACATTAACAATCTACAACTTTCTATTTTCTGTATTTATATATGAAATTAAAATGGACAGAAAAGTTGTCAAAACTTCCATCAATTAACGTTTAAATATACATTTCTTTGAAGATTTTGAAATAATTTGAATGGTTTTTGGTCTTGGAAACATTTTAACATATTTTCAGAGTCACAGGCAGTAGTAATGGATTACAACTCCAGTGGTTGATTTACCATTGGTGTTAATCTTAAAATAATAATACTTATATACAGTACAGTATTGGGTTGTGGTTCATGCCACATTGAGTATTATGGCGACACAAATTGTCTGTGCTCTTACACAGAATTGAATATTTTGTATCAGAACTTTCTTGGAAATGTTCTTGTTGTATATGAAATATGAAGATTAATATATTTTGATTAATAATAATGCCATCAATAACTCTGTTGTGTAGAAGTGGCAGTGAGGACTCAGAGGGCTGCTTAGTTCGATGGTTTTCGTCACGCCATGAGCACTTCAACTAGTTCTTTGATGATAGTAAGTTAGGTCCTAACCTAACCCCAAAACCCCTTGCCCATCTTCCTGTAATGGCTTGTAACAAGTCAAAACTCGTATAGAAGATATTGCATATAGGTATAATATTTATAGTAGGAGGAATGTAAAGAGAAGAAGTTTGGTAGCATGGCTGGTTAGTTATTTTACACTTATATTATCTTATACGTTAAGGGACAACTTCTCAAACACCACTTCGATACAACTATTTATTATTCCACTCAATGACACAGACACATTAATATCAATATTATATCGACGTTACTAGAATATCGTATTTACGTTACTGGATACAGACTCTCGAACACAAACATGAATGAATACACTTCCCACAGTAGGTAACTCACCCTAGGGATAGCTCTGACAAGACTCAGGTGTGACCTGACGGAGGCCCAGCGGGTGCTACTGGACTGTCTCCTATGGGAGGCTCTGCTTAGCTTGTGACGCCGGGGTCTGGTCGGGAAGTCTCCTTCCCAACCTGGGGGGAGGACGAGCGTGACTCTGTGAGTGAACGGAATAACGACCCTAACGGGAGAGAGATGAATCGGATGGGAGTGACGAGGGTAAAGAGTCCGTGGATGGGACTGCAGGGCCTTTATATGGGGGAGAAACAGCCGGCAATTGACCCCTGCCAATTAACACTAAACTGGTTGGATCTGGACAGCTGTGTTTGCCCGGGTGCGTGGTCATGCCTGGGTGTGTCTTGGCTAGGTGTGGTTTGGTCAAGTCATACACTAACTCAAGTAATTAGTGGACGAGGTCAGGTCCCTTGGGTCCTGACCCAAGGTGTGTCAACCTGTACTCACTGTTATATGTGTTGTAATTCTCTGGGCTGTAAGCTGTGGTCTGATAAACAATCATTACAGGCTTCAAGAATAATAAAGATGTATTAACAATAATTAATTTTAAAGATGAAGGGAAACTAGGCACTATGTTGGCTTTAGGGTAAAGTAGATGTAATGGTTACTTGTAATATTTATGGGAGAGGAAGTCAGGGTGTACCCAGAAATTTGACGGGAGGTGGGACGAACTTTGAACTGAAGTATTGTTGAAATACGAGATAATTAATATTTTTCTGTACATTCATGGAGAGCTTACCGTTCAGTTATTGATGTTGTTATTTTTATTCATTAAAAATGGTTTATTTTGAATAATTTATTAGTGCAAGATGGGGGCCCCCTTGGTATGCCTGTGATAAAATCTATCTTGTGACTTCATCTGCTGAAACTCAAGGCTATTTGGTCAGGTGTTTTCGGGACCACTTAAAGGCTTTTTTCTGGACAGTGAGAACTAACGTGCTTAAATGGTAAAGTTAGTCTACTGTATATTCAATTTCCTGAAAAAAGGATATTGGTAGAGTTAGAGATATGCACACAGGTAGAATCTCGAGTGCAATGCCAAGCTACACTGGCTCCCTGGTACTGTATGTATACTGTAGTCTAGGTATCCAGGGTACTCTATCTGTACTACCCCTAACAGTCCATCTCTCATAGATCTGGGACCCATTTCCACATAGGGAAGATGGCCGCTACTCTCACGGTGATAATTGTTTTAACCTAGTGTGCTGTGATATTACCGTGTGTGTGCGCGCCTTGGTTTTCCCATATGTGTGCATGCACGCCTTGGTCTTAACTTGTATGTGTGCGCCGTTGTCTTACCTTGTGTGTGTGTACCTTGGATCTTAACCTCTTGTCGCACACCATCAGAATCATAAGCAACCTTCCCTTGCTACATTTATCTGCTTGGTTTGTATCATGCAACTAATGGTGTTGACCTATCTATGTGCGTTTGTGTTTGTTTGTGTCAAGTTATATTTCTGTTTTCATCATTCATATATCAAACTACTACATGCATTTTTGTTCATCACCACCTTAATAGATCAAACTGCACTCATGACTTGCTCTTAGTAAAAAATAAACCATAGTATTTCACAGCAGTTGTTGTCACTGAGGAACAATTATTTTTGTTTGTTTTATATTTATATATATATTTTTTTGCTAAGAGTTGAATAATGCTTTAGTACTGTACTGTAGTTTATTTTTCTTCTGTTATCTTTATTACCTGGAGAGATAACTGTAATGAGAAAAGAGGGTGATAGGTGTTGGCAGGTCCCTGAAGTGTTTGACCTGTGTAGGATGGTACAGGCGACATGTTACAGGTAAGAGAAAGCCATTATGCATTGTTATTTTTACTGTACTTTTAAATTTTGAAGTTCATGTAACCCTTTGATATACAGGTTGACAATCCCTTATCCGAAATCCTTGGGGCCAGAGGAATTTCGGGTTTCGGAATTTTTCGGTTTTCAGAGTGGTTAGTTTTTTTTTTTTTTTTTTTTTAATGTGTATTAGCCCACCCGGACATAGATCACTGACCCACGTCAGGGCCTGGGGGGCTTAAATATTATAAAAATTATAATAATAATAATAACAACAACTCATAGGTCTAGGTCGTGTTTCTCACTTTTGATCTTTTTTTCATTCTTGTATTTCTTTATTATTATTATTATTATTATTATTATTATTTTATTATTATTAAAGTACTCCTATATTATTGTTATTTTAATTAATTTTATTATTATATATTATTATTATTAATGTTATCATATTATTTTATTTTGGTGTATTTTTATTAAAATTTTTATTCACTATGAATAATTATTATTATAATTATTATTATTATTACATTTTCGCCCCCCAGGCCCTGATGTGGGTCAGTGATCTATGTGATCTATTAAACTTTTAAAATTATTGAATAGTATAAACTTCTTGATATTTACTAAAATAGTAAGGAATTTAAGCCCTAGAACCGATTAATGTATTGGCGGACTGATACTAAAGCTGGTTGCCCGGTCAGTGCAAGCGAAAACATGTTGAGGTCTGTTCGTAAGAAATTCGTTAACCGAATTGAAGATCCTTATGGAAGGCAGTTCGTTAACCGAAATTTCGTGAACCGAGGCGTTCGTTAAACGAGGGGTCACTGTGTGTATATATATATATATATATATATATATATATATATATATATATATATATATATATATATATATATATATATATATATATATATATTTCATGTAAATCCTGAAAGCGTGGATAAGATAAATCTTGATAAAATCACGGAAAATGGAAACAAGCTAAGGTACTCGTTGTTTCCATTTTCGATATATATATATATATATATATATATATATATATATATATATATATATATATATATATATATATATATATATATATATATATATATATATATAAATTTTTTTCCTCTTGCAGAGATAATAAAGAAGCCCAAGCCAAGAAGTTCTACTGAGCCAAGTTGTTTAAAATGGCAGACTTTGAGATCTCAGGAGTTAAAGAGACTTCTTCTGAAATATTTTTTGAAAATATTGCTTTTATAGTGTCCAGTTGAAAATTTTAATGGTGTCTTTTAAGCATTTATTTTTTTAATAGAGGTGATGTAAGTTTTCTTTATGGCAAGATGGCGATTCATCAGAACCATAAGAAATAAAATAGAAGAGATACTTGTGATCTGACTTGTAGCCATTGTTGAATTTGTGCAAAATGTCTTCCTGAAATAAGTCCTTTTTAGTTTACTTCTTTGAGATACTTGTATACAGTAAGTGCACCTGTCATGCAGCGTGGATCATACTCAGCCTCTAAAAAGCAACTAGATCAGGATCATTACATGATAGCTTCACTTGCACCTAAAATAATAAAATAACAAAAACATGAAGACCAGAGTTAGTTATACTTACAGATTTACCAGATATGATTAACTCCCCTCCTCATAATAGCCCCTGTAGCCCATCCCTCATCATTGAGAGGTGCATGTGAGTGATTGGTACTGAAACTACTGTACTTCACATTAACCTGCTGTATTTTGCTTTTGTTAGAACTGGAGCTTGTTTATATCTGATTAGTGTGTAAGATTTATAATGTGAATTCCAGTTGTAGATAATTTTGTTTGAGAATGTCACAATGACTTAACCAGCAATTCAGTTTATTTAATAATGGGGTTTCACCTTGAAAAGGAAATATTGTTATTTGCTGGAATATACTAATTGGGTCATGTACCTAAAAGTGAAGGCAAGACTCATGCTACCAGTATTATCATTACCCATTGCTTCCAGTTATGAAAACAAAAGTCAGCCATAAAGTATAATTATTGGGTTTGTTGCATATCAGTGATTGTTGAGTCTCACTATGTGAGGCAATCACAAATTTTCTTAAAAAGTCTCGACCTTGTGGCTTTCTGTTCATTATTCCATTTCCTTAAGTTAATCTTCATGTCTCCTAGAGTTACTCCTCCTCCTCTTGTGCTCACCTTTGGATTAAGGTAGTATAATAATTAATAAAATTTAGACTAGAAGTGATAAATTTAGGACCTGGTGTTAACAGTTGATAACAAATGGAGATGTTGACTGAGAATTGAGCTTATGGTCCCTGACCCTTACTTTACTCTCTTGTGTTTTCTAGAATTGATGGGCATGTTTGCTTGACTATTAACAGTACAATATGTTGTGTAAAGCTTATATTTCCTGTTTTACTTACTGTCCCCATAGACTTTACAGGGTTTGGTTGAGGTTGAGTCGTGTTTTTTTTTTCCTATTGTGATAATTTTTACTGGAGGATTATGGAGATAGGGTTTTTACTTACAATAAACACTGATAGGATAGTTTTTATATGCTTTAACCATGAAATTGGTTTACTAATGAGGAAATAGCAACATTTTGCAGTCTAACCTGAGTTATGTCTCTGAAGGTGTCTTTCAGAGACCGTTATGTTATGCTAACTTACGCACAAAGCCTACTCAAGCCTGGCACACATGCCTTATGAAGTGTGTCAATTGAATTTTTTTATGCCTTTATTAAAGGTATACAGTATATCTAATTGTAGCATGAAATAGGCTGTTGTAAGAACATCATTGCTTTTATTTTTTATTTTATATATTCAGTGGTGGATTATCATTGTATTTTGTTAAGATTTAATAAATTATTAAAGTTTTTCTATACACAGTTGTTTTATTTTTTTTCCAATAACCAATTGAATAAAATGGGGATGGTGTGAACTGTTGTGTTTGTGTCTAGACATTTTACGTAAGTGCAGTACTACAGGTATCCCTTGTTGTCCAAATGTTCGCAATACGAAAATTCTCTTGGCTGAAAAATTTATTCTCACTCATTTTTACAATACCAAAGTGATCCATATTTTTCTGAATGATGGTCTGATAGAAAATCCATATCAGCCCATCCCTCCTCACCCCTGAGGCAAGCCCTGACCACCCTCAAATGAGGTAATGTACCAACTGCACAGTACTGTATGCTGTACATCATTTTCTTATGTTTAGCAATTACTGTACTGTACTATGTACTGTACTGTATCTATCAATCAACATTTATGCTGAGCACTAAGAGAAAAAAACAACTTTTGAGGTGAAGGGCTTGTCATCATTCCAACTCCTCATGTTTAGATTAGAATTAAGTTAAAATGTGAGCAACTAAAACCTTATTATTTTTTCAGGTTAATAGCACGGATACATTCTACATATCAGAACTGTTTAAAGCAACAACAACATATTACCAATAATGGAAGTTAAAGACATACAGTACAGTATAATTTAAACCTTTGATTGCTATATACGCTCTCTCCAAAAAGTATCTAGAAATGAGTCCGATGAATTTCAAAATGAACACCGACTCCTGTTGTTACCTTCCTCTGTACTGTACGTCATGCCTTAAAAGCCAAAACATTTTCACCAACACGGTCTGATTTTTTAACTGGCTGAACCTTACTACTGAGCAAGACCTATATAAAGCATAACATTTTCACTATACACAAAAGCAACATTTATCTATATATAGTCTAAAAAATCTATTTTTTTATAACCTCTTTATAACATAAGTAAATTTATCTTATAAAATAACATCAATGATAGCTATATCAAAGTACAAGATCAACACTTTCTATAAAACAAAATCTTTATATTAACTTATTCTCTGATGATAGGTAACTCATTCATATCTTGTAGTATAAACTGTGAATAACATAAACAGTACTTTTAAAAGAATTCATTAAACTTGTTAGAACAATTATTATTTTTTAACAGGTTCCAATAAGGTTACTGTACCTTAAATTATATATATCAAACTCGACAAATATAATAACATTCAAAGTACAGTTTTCCTTCCCCAAGTCAATTAAGTTCACGCACTGAAGCATTCATATAGTACAGTATATCTGGCATTTCAAATCCATTATTATTATTAGCCTTTGAAGATTGTGGGTGTGTGTACGGAAGTTTGTTGGTATGGTTATGGAAGATTGTGGGTGTGGAAAGGCTATTGATATACAGGTAATTGACAGGATTTTCAGTGGGATCAGTGAATGGTGGTGGTGGTGGGTGTCAGGAGTAGGGGGTGGGCAGTGGGGAGGGTAATGGTGAGGGTGTGGGTGGAAGGGTCCCACGTAGCCACTCCCTTTTGCTGGTGTACAGGGCGGGGGAGGTGCAGGTGGAGGTAGTGGGTGGGAGATGCCAGTCGTAGATCAGTAGGTGTCACTTCGAGGGTCACTTCCATGAGGTGAGCCCCTGGCAGCACCACCCTCACCACCAGGTCCTCCTCCCCCGCACCACCCATGACCATACTGCTTACCTGTGGCACAATATATTAATCATTCCGGGTACATGATGTGAGGTAGGGGTCATCTTTATTTCTCCTGTGTATACATTGGTTACAGAACCTAATGAGAGACAAGAAGATTCTCCTCCCCAGTTTATTTCACCATAAGATTAACCAACTTAACATTACCCAGGGGTTAAGTTAGGTTTAGTTATGTTATAATAGGTTAAATAAGGTTTGGATAGGCTAGTTATTCTTTAGGTGAAGTTTGCGGAGGGGGAAGAATCTTCGGGTGATCCCAAATGACATGTAAGTTGCCTAACCTCATTAGCATATTTGTGATTTTGAGTCAGCCTCAGAGATTAAAATATATAATATTGTATTACTTAACTGACTCATAAACATTTTACAGAGACTATACATTTAATACAAACATAGTTTTGTGCCACACTCACACAAGTGCAATATATGTGTAAATATACATACACATGAGTGGCTAGGACACACACGTACATACCGGAAGGTACACATGGGCGGCTGACACACGGTGCTTGTAAGTGACATCATACTCAGGCTGGGGTCGAGGGTCACTGACTTCCTCACCCTGACTTGACCTCACCTCCTCCACCTCCCAGATGTCACCTGGTGGAGCATGCTGGGTCAGGGCCTACACAGAATATTGCTTTTAACACAATACAAGATATATAATTTAGGTAAGGTTAGGTTCACATTAGGATGGTCAATCCTAATGTGAATCCCACATAACAAGAATGAATAATGATCACCACTAACCCAGTAAGTCACTATTGGCAGGGTTGACCTTGGTTGACAGCCTGGTGACCTCTGGTGGTAAATTGGTGACCTTGGCTGGTGCCTTAGTGAGGTAAGAGCCAGTGACCAGATCAGCTGGAGTCACTCCTGTTGGTACATCAGATCAAGGACTAAAAAAAACTCTTATCCTTGTATGAGATTACACCTGTTTGACCTTGTCTTATTAAGTACAGTACTACTAAAAGTAGCAAGAAACACATTTTTTAAATTTTCTAATAATTTTTATCACTTATTTGTGTAGTTTATGTAATGTGTCTTAAATAATAATACTAATTATTATTATTATTATTATTATTATCATCAGATATTACGCACCTGAGACGGAGGTATGTGTGACGTCATCATCTTCGTCCTCAGGGTCGTGAGGAGATTTGAGGAAGGAGGCGATAGCTCTCACCTCCACACTGCCTATATCACTCATCTCTCACTCCTTTTCAACAGTGGATATCAACATTCCTATTTGTAACTACAAGGCTAACTGATTCACTGTGGTCATTTCATTAGACGACAGGTATTAATTGAGTGAACAAGGGCATCTGATTGCTTGATTCGTTAATCAGTAAGGGACAAAATATAGTCAAAACTTGTCTCATAATGGTTAGTGAATAAGTCAATCCGACATCATTGTTCCACCCATGAATACTTGTATTTTTATTTGACACAGCGAACCAGTTTTTCATCTCGCCCTAAATTATTTACTATCAATCACAGTTGTCTATAGGTATATCTTGTTTAAGTATTATTGCATTTACACACCGTTCATTCCTACCACCAATCTATTATCATATTGGAATAAGACGTCTAAATATAAGATAATTTTCATCTATTACATTACCGGCGGAAATGTATAATAACGGAGATAGCTTTTCCCCCAAAAATTCTATTTTCTTCCATTAACCTCCTGCCATTATCGTCTGCCTCTCCCCCAACACTGCGTGTCTCTTGCGTCTCCTTCATAAATCATCATGCGTTCCCGTACACGTAACTCGGCCAATCAAAAGCGATTTTGCTTTTGGAACCAATTACCTGTAAAATGATTTTGGGTTTAATTCGGAGTATATTTGGCCCAATCAAATTAGAGTTTTATTTTGGGTCTCTCATATTTTGAAATTCAAGTTCAGTTCTGACCATGGAAGTCTGCGATGGGTGTCACTTAAAGTATATGGAGCTGATTGCTAGTTTTTGGAAAAAAAACGTAGAAACTATAGCATTTTTTCGATCGCATGGTGTTCTTCAGTAAAGTGTACTAAGAGCAAGACTGAATGTAAATATTGCAAAGACCAACATATGTGGCGCTGGGTAAGAATCCCAGAATGCAACGACGAGCAAGAACCAGGCCAATAAGGTAAGAAATAGGTGATTCCATCATATGGTGAGAGTTAGTTAAGTTAGGTTTGATTTTTGTTTTTCTAGTGTTTTTTTTGTGTGTATTTTTTAGTTGCTTAGCCACTTTTTTTTTTTTGGAAAACGTCAAACAAAAAAAAAATCGCTAAAAAAAACCCGGCTAATTTCCGCCAAAAATGAAGGTCATATTCGGTCTAAACACACACAAATACACCAGAAAAATATATTTTTTACTTGCTAAAAGCGAACGGTGTGACAATGCAAATTTACCCTTGTTTACCCTACGTACTAAAGAAATAAAACCATTTCGCCAATTATACATAATATATGAAACAAAAAGAAGATAATTATACAGTTCTCCTCATGACGGTGTGATGCAGGCACGTGTGAGTGTTGCGTCATTACCTGAAGATCCTGTTTTGTAAATGCCTGGATGAACGAAAGGTCCCCAGTGAATGGAAAGTGGCTTATGTGAGTCCTATCTTCAAGAAGGGCGATCGGCACTCCACGAACAACTACAGACCGGTGAGCCTCACCAGCATAATATGTAAAGTACTTGAGAGTATTATCAGAGATGCCGCAATGGAACATCTAATACGAAACAATCTTGTAAAGGATTGCCAACACGGTTTCATGCCGGGGTGCTCCTGCTTAACACAATTGCTCAAGGTATTGGATATTTGGACCCATATTCTGGAACGGGGTGGTAATATCGACAATATTTACCTAGATTTTGCCAAGGCTTTCGACAGTGTATCCCACGAAAGGCTGAAAATCAAACTGGAAGGGTATGGAATTTGGGGAAATGTCCTAGCATGGATAGAAGACTTTCTACAAGACCGCAAGCAGTGTGTGGTGATTAAAGGCACCAAATCATCATCTGTACCTGTCACGAGTGGGGTACCACAGGGCAGTGTATTGGGTCCGCTGTTGTTTGTTTGCTTCATAAATGACATGCCTGACGTACACTCCTCCATACAAATATTTGCCGATGACGCTAAGTTATTTCGGGAAATTAAGAACCAAGCGGACTGTGAAGATCTGCAGAAGGACCTCTGTGGGCTCCAAGAATAGTCGAAGAAATGGCTGCTGAGATTCAATGTCACGAAGTGTAAGAGGATGCACCTGGGGCGTACCAACGGTAAGGAGGCATATCATATGTTCCAACGGGAAGAAGAAACTGTACTAGTTGAGACACTGCAAGAAGGTACCTAGGTGTGTATGTTGACAATGAGCTGAAGTTCTCGGGCCATTGCGAGAAGAAGGTAAACCAGGCAAATAAATAATTGGGTTTTATAAGAAGGTCGTTCAAATATCTAGACGGTACGTCCCTCGTAACGATCTTCAAGAGTGAAGTGCTTCCCCATCTGGAGTACTGTCACCCCGTCTGGTCCCCGAGATATGGTAAGGACTGTCAGTTGATTGAAAATGTTCAAAGGAGGGCCACCAGACTGGTGCCTGCACTTCGGCGCCTCAGCTACCCTGAGAGATTGGAGCGCCTGAACTTGCCTAGCTTATATTACAGACGGGCAAGGGGTGACCTAGTTGAGGTGTATAAGCATCTCAGGGGGCACTACTCGGTCGAGTGTCCTTACTTGGAGCTGGCTGACGCTCGCCCCACAAGGGGTCACAGCTCAAGATTGAAGAAGCTGCAAGTCCAGAAAACTGTGAGGGCAAACTTTTTCGGAGTGAGGGTTGTAAACTCTTGGAACAGTCTACCAGAGAGTGTTGTGACGGCACCGAGTGCGAGCTCTTTCAAGACAAGACTTGACCAACACTGGAGCGGATTCAGGTACATTCAGGAGCCGGTGCATGCCCAGTATTTGCCAACAGTGCGTGACAGAGACGTGACCGATCGCCCGGGCGGCTAACAAGCCGATCAGTGACATAGAGGATAAAAGTAAAGTAAAAGTGGAGTCAGAAAGCACTGTGTCATTTCCTTTTTGACTTGATAGTGTAGTGGATTCCTCCCCTGCCTGGCGGATCCCGCTCCAGCCGGCGACCCACAAGCTGGTCCTCCTCTGAGCACCCTCACCAACCAGCTCTCTCTACATCACGCTTGTAACCATGCTGCCTTCCCAGCACCAAGCTGCATTGTACATCCAATACAATATGTATACAGAGAGCACATTGTGAGTTTCCTTTCTCCATCCCATCCTGAGTGTGAACCAACATCTCGTACCCCACAATAGCTTTAGGATTCATGTTTCTTGGTAATATTTTTTTTATACATCATACTGGAGTTTATTTTGTCTGTGGTGACTCTGGCTACACTCGCTTCTTCAAAAATATAAAATTTTAGCCAAGAGAAGAATGCTTTACTCACCTATATACCGTTCCCAAATTATACTCATTTTTTCTTCATTTTGTAAACTGTTTAGTTGATTTGAAATATTAGGACGAAGTTACCTCACACACTACTCTTTTAGGGGTCGGGGCTGGAGAGTAGAGAAGGAAAATGATAACAATAGGAAAATGCTACGTTGATATCTGAAGTTCACCCACCGCGTCCCCGTTACCATGACAACGGCTGACAACCTCCAGGGATCATTATTATTATATAATATGGATCTGGGTTTCGGATGAACATTTACTTTTCTGAAAAAAATTATATCATTTAAGTTATCATAAAGTAGTAATATTTGCTAACTAGGACTTATTTACGTACTGAGACAAAGCATTTAAACATGTAGCTTACAGCAATCGATTGCAAGTTTTCCCGCGCCTTTTTGCAACCAATGAACTGAGTGTTGCATCAACAAATTATAAATTTATCGACTTATCAACCCAACTTGAAATTTATGTTCTATAGCTTAATTTTACACTTCCACAAAGGTACTCAGCATTATAATAGGTAACATGTTTTCTATTCACATTATTGCATAAGATAACGTGGAGGCATGAAGGATATTGTTAGGAAAATGCCACGAACCATGTCGTTGACGAAAATAGCATTAGACATGAAGATTAGGGGCATGATCAGAGTTTAATTTGGACACCTTGGGTACATGTATTTTTCTAGTTAGCGGAGACTCATAAGGAAGGATCTCAAAGTATAAACTTTAAGGGACTTATTTTATAGTGGGTGGGGATTAGGGGATGTAACACAAACTTCTTGGCCAATTAAACGTATACTGTATAGACATTTAATAAACAGATACATCGGAAACTAAATAATTAAACCTATCCAAAATTAATATTTTTTTTGGTAAATTCGGGAATAATATAATGTTGTTCGTGGTAATATGCTAACAGCGGCCCTCAGGTGTCAGTGGCACACAACACAGCCAGGAAGACCATGGCGGACACGGGCGACGAGAAGGTCTCCAAAAAGTAAGTTTTATGACATAACTCTCACGTAGTTCCTCACATACCATTATCGAGAAGCAAATATAAGATGATTATAATAAAGGGATGTTAATAGATCATTGTTTTGTAGTGTAGATCATGTTGAAATATGAGGTCGTCTGTGGTGTCGGTACATGTGGTTGCAAAGAGGAAGTTCATTGTCTTGTAATAATATATTTTGTACTGCTTGTATCCCTATACAGTACTGTGTGGTTCATGGTGTAGTAGTATAGTAAAAAAAGCTGTAATCTCTTTGTTACGGGTTATATTAGTATACATAATAGGTGAATGAACATGGGAAGGAGTGGCGGCAGTGGTTCGCGCGGTTTTGGAATTTGCTCAGTTCGGGAATCCAGCTGGGGTGTATCTTGATGGGTTTACGGTAATTATGGACCGTATATTGGCCAGGATGATTATTTATGGCATTACCTTACACGGAAAAAGAATTAGTGTTGTAGATTATGCACAGAAAGGAACCTAATCTGACCTGACCTAACCCAAATTTAACCTGACCTAACCAAAACTTAACCTGCCCTAAACATAACCTAGTCTAATCTAACCTAACCAAACTTGGGTAAATTTATAGTAGTTCACACAAGTCTGTTAGAAAGTCAAGACTTTTCTAGTGTATTTTTTTATTGTTTCTAACTTTGATTTCCGTCGGAAATTGCCTGTTTTTTAGTTATCGCCCCCCTTATACCCCCAACAAGATAAGGGAACCTGTTGGGAACCGGGGTTTGGGTGGGGGAGAGAAACAAGCATTTTCCAACAAAAATCATGGCCAAGTGAATACAAAATACATCAAAAAAGCACTAGAAAAACATATAAACCTAACCTTTTTGGGGGGTGACCTAACCTGGCCTATCCTAACCTAACTCACTGTGTTTTTCTGTAACCAGACTCTCACCATATGAGAGAATCACTGTTATTTCTTACCTTTTTCCGAATTGGAATCACAAATTCGAGTAGGCTTGGGAGGTGGAGAACTCCATGAGATCTAAAAATGCTATTGCTTGTTCGTTTTTTCCCCCTAAATGCGCAATTAACTCCATATAATTGAAGTGACACCCATCGCAGACTTCCATGGTCGGAAATTAATTTGAATTTCGAAGCATGAGAGACCCAAAATCACAATCGAATCTGATTGGGCAAAAAAATACAGCGAATTCTAAAAGCAGAAACCACACTTCATTTTAATTGGTGGCAAAAATATAACGCTTGTGATTGGCTGCTTGACGTGTACGAGAATGAAGGCGCATGATGATTTATGAAGGCAACACGCTGAGTGGGAGGTTGGGTAGGCGATAATGGCTGAAGATTAATGGAATTAATTAGAGAAAGATTTGGCATGCGCTATCTCTGTTATTATACGTTTCCAACAGTAATGTAATAGAAAAAAATTATCTTAAAATTAGATGTCTTTTTCGAGTGTGATGAAAGATTTGGGGTAGGAATGTTGTGTGAACTATATTATAAAAATACCCAAACTTGTTCAACATACAATACACAGTACCAGTAATAAATTCTACAAATTTACAAAATACCTATCGCTTACAATATCATTAATCATTTTCTTCAGCAATTAACTGGCCAGATTTTTTAGGCAGTGGATATTATGCCGTGACCAGCTAAGTTCCTACTAATGCTATTTTACCATGAGTGTTCTGATTGGCTAATCGTTCACTACCGGCAAACAACGCAAGAACTATATTTGACTGTGACTGGGGGTATTTGACATTTATTTCTTTGAGAGTCAATCGCTGTGTAGTTGTAAACATAACTAACCATAATTCAGCAAAGAAACCTACCTAACCTTACCTAACAAACCAAGCAAAGAAACCTACCTAACCTTACCTAACTTCGTAGCTGGGGAGCGGACCCCCCTGTCATATAAAACAGAAAGTACTTTGCCATCGGCACACTCAAGGTAAAATAGTGTTAGTAGGAACTTAACCGGTCACTGCAAAATATCCTCTATAGTTTTAAGGAAACCGGTACACTAATAATAATACAGTGTGTTATTGTATTTTGCATCTTGTACGCTGTAACAAGGTACAGTAGTATACAGTATAGTCTGCATTTACGCGGTCAATTGAACCTGTGGAGGTCCGCGTAAAACGAGAAACACGTAAACGAAATAACAGAACATGTGGGATTAATTGAAATAGAGACTGGGCCGCCCCCAAACTACACTTTTTCCGACACAATACGTACGTTGTTCTAAAAATAACATCTTAATTTTACGATGGTATGCACACACAATTAATATTTAAGAGAAATATCAATAATATTAGGTTTTTTAACACTTACGTAAGTAGAAGAGATGGCTGGGCACACAGGGATGGGGGGTTGGTTCCGAGGCAGAGGGCAGATTATTGGCCCTCGCCTGTATCACTTGTATCAATTGTATCACTATCCACCACAGAGGCTTGCAGGGCTTCTTTGTCAAACCCCCTCAAAGTCCATATAAGTCCATATCCTCACTATCACTGACTTGGGCCGGCTGTGGTGGGTGACGGGTGAAGAACTCGGTAATGTTTTGATGACTGGGCGACCTTGTGCGCACCCTGCCAGCGCAAATGACCAAATTTACCGCGTAATTAAAGCATTTACATTCTGGCAAGGCACCGCGTAAATGACCAAACGCGTAAACAAAATCCGCGTAAATGCAGACTATACTGTAGTTCATTTGTTGTATCAGTTTTCAGTGCAAATTTGTTAGAGGGAAAAATGTAGTTTTTCTCATAACTTCAGCTTGTAGGTGTATAATTTGTCATTTGTAATTTCATCTAATTACACATTTAGCGGAATGTAGTCTGTCACCTGCCCATATGGACAGTACTGTAGCTCCACCATATCTTTAAGTACAGTATTCTTCTTGGGTGGGTGGACAATTCATCACTGATCTATTGATTACTGTGTTATATTGACTAAATTTTGATAATTATACAGTACAGTGGTCCCTCGGTTAACGAGCACAATCTGTTCTAGAAGGTTGGTCGTTAACCGAAACCATCGTTTCAATGGGTTTTTGGGTAATAGGTTCCAGCTCACCGAAAATTGCCTAAATTCAACAAAAAAGGTAGAAAAGTACATTTACTTTGAGTTGTGTATGTAGAAGGCTCCTGGATGATGATGATGATGATGGGAATAAGAATGGGGGTGGAGGAGAAGGGAGAAGAGAAGGCATTGGGGTGGAAGAGAAGTCACCCCATGGCACCATTTCACCCATAAAATTTTAGCTCTCTTGGTGTAATTCAAGATTATTTTCTTTAAATCAACACTGCACTGCATTATATATTGTCAATATGTAAAATAAATTTCAAAATGACCAATAATTTGCTTGCAAACACAGAAAAAAGCGTTTAGTTGAAGAGTCTCGAGCAAGATGTTACCTCCACTGAAAAGACACAAAGACTGACGCCTGTATGGTGTGTTGGCAGGCTGGATGGCGCGCATAAAACTAGTGACCTTACCTTCAATAATGTTCAGTAATTGTTAAAATGACAAAAAAATTTAGCATTAAACTTTTAAAATTATTGAATAGTATAAACTTCTTGATATTTACTAAAATGGTAAGGAATTTAAGGCCTAGAACCGATTACTGTATTGGCGGACTAATACTACAGCTGGTGGACCGCCAAATGCAAGCGAAAACATGTTCAGGTTGGCTTGTAAGAAACTCGTTAATCGAGGGATTGCTTGTTAACCGAAGTTAAGAATCTTATGGAAGGTAACTCGTTAACTGAAATCTCGTTAACTGAGGGACCACTGTATCTTTATTTTGGGGGTGATGAAGCCATGGTTAAGTTAGGTTAAGTTTATACACCTATACTTAACTGGTGATAAATCCTCCTAGAACCCTCTTCCTGACCTTGTATGATAATACTTGCAAAAATTTACTACAGTATTCTCAACATATGCTGGTACAGTACAGGCATCCCCTGGATTATGGAAATTCGCTCTTACGGATTTTGTAAATTATGACCAATAAATTTGGGATCCGGACAAAAAATTCGCCCTTACGGAAGTTGGGAAATTATTATTATTATTTTTTTTTTTCAATACTATTAGGGAAAAAAACCGGAAATTATAAAATTTATTTTGTGTGGATTTCTTGGCGGTTGGTACAATACTGTATAGGGTGAGGCAGGGGCCAGTAGTGCCCCTCCATCTTCCACTCAGTAATTCTGATTGCACCACCTCACCTAATGCAGCACTCATCATCGTTTGTGGTAAGTTAAATTCAAGTGTTTTGTATACAGTATTTATTATCATATATAAATTATTCAATGTATGTGTTAAAAAATATTTTAATTCATAAATGTGCTTGTATTACGTCTTTTGCCGAAAATATTCCCTTGGGAACACATCTCCAATTATATAATGGAAGTCAATGGGAAAATTAGTTTCACGTTGCGGACAAATTTTCAAGGACACATACCTTCCGTAACCCTGGGGATGCCTGTAGTATATAATTGCCATCAGTTGTAACTTTAACCAGTACCAGACATTCCAGGTGAGCACCTGGTATTAGCAACAATGAGGAAGGAGTTGTTGGAGTTTGTGAGGAGGGCGGTGGTCCAAGGAGCACTTGGAGCCCCATGGGCCAGGAGTCAGTGTATGGCCAACGTCTCCCCGAGCAACAACAACCTCTTATTCTCTACCAGTAGGTGGGTGAAACATTAAAAGCAGCATATTCTAAATATAATTATTTGTATATAGACATTTGATACACCAGCTCAAACCAGGACAAAGAGGAGGCATTAAATGAGTTATTTTCCCCAGAGTTTACAAGAGAGGATGCCTGTAACTTACAGTACCTATTTATAATGAAAAGTAGTTGGAGTACAGCAATGGGGTATAAAGTCCTCAGGAGAGTATTAGAACAAAATTATCTAAACTAAAGGTTGATAAAGGCCGTGGCCATGATAGCATACATCCCAGAGTGTTTAAGAGAGTTAGAGAAGAAACTTGATCCCTTACAATCATGACACTAGTAAGGAAGAGAAATTAACACATATGAGTCTAGTGTTCAGTAAGAGTAGAGTAGAGATGTGAGTACTTTGATGTTAATGTCCCATCAGCAGTTAGGAGAGGCTGGATGATGATAAAACTTGTAAAAAAATTCACTTCCACAAAGTTTGATTGTGCTGCTTGAGATGTTTCCCCCACACTCTCTACTAGTGACTGGTGATGTTATACCTTGTTTGTCATGTGAATTACTGTACAGTACCTAGGCTTCTTGCTCTAGACATCAGAGTGATGTTGCTTTATGCAGCATTTACTTGTGATGTTGCTTTATGCAGCATTTACTTTTATTATGACAGGTTGTGAATACATTTGGTTTATCAGACTTCAAAAATTAACTGGCCATTGAGCCCTTTTTTGTGTGTGTGTGGCTTTATAAACTCAGTTTTATTTATGTTTTTACATTTTAATGAAGGCAATTAGAACATTGATTTAAGTTGGTACTGAAAATAGAGTACAGACCCTAAAATCCACATCTTACAAACATAAATTCTTGAAAACTGGACATTTTCTTTGGTGGGATCACCCATCGGTTACCTTAGGCCTGCTAGTAAACAATGTCAAAAGTTTTGGTTCAACACACTCACACAAACTCATTTGGACATTAGATTTACTGTAATCACAAAATATAAAAAAATATCATCACAGTACTTTGCATGTACAGTAGCGAATTTATAAATAAGTATTGTGTCGTTGAATAGATAGTCCAATACTGTACAGTACCTTGAGCATCATTATTTACTGGTATGTTTACAGTGTTGTATTCTAAATTTCTTTAATTACTTCAAAGGTCATTAATTAATGCTAATTACAGGTACTCGAATTTTTAAATCGTGAACCCAGATCTTTAATCAGCATGTAAAATAGTACCTTTGTATGAAATTTGAACAAAATCCATTTTTAGACCCCAAGTGCTGAAACACAAGGTTGACTCTTGAAATACTCTACAGTATTTGAAAGTACAGTTGCTCCCCGACTTACAACGGGGTTAAGGACCCAAATCCAGGTCGTAAGTCGAAAATGCTTAAATAATGCATAGAAAATCTAAAATGGGTGTCTCTTTTTCCAAATAAGCACCACAAAACTCTCACTTTTAAGCTAGCCAGCCATTTTAAAGTGAATTACAAACGAAAATTTTGTCACTACACAGCGCAATCACTGACGTTGGGACTCGAAAATACGTAATTTGACAAAATTTTGGTACGACTGAGGCGGTCGTATGTCTGGGTGGTTGTAAGCCAAGTAGGTTGTAAGTCGGGGAGTAGCTGTACTGGACTAATATTGGTTAAATGAAAACAAAATAATTGAGGTCCGTTGTTAGATGCAGGATACTCTCATATCTCAGTGTCAGCTCACTATGATAGCATGGTGCTAACCTTGAATAAAGGTACTTGAACTTACCATTATGTCACTTCTATGTTTTTATTTATTTGTGTACACATTCATAAATCATTATTCTGTGTTACATCACTTTTAAAATTAAATTAAACTTCTCAGTTTTCTTGCTGTGTTGCATTTGTTTGTGTATTTTTTGTCTATTTGGTCCCTTTCTGGTTTCACTTTACCACCTTCATATAAGCCCTGAGCTGCCTGTTCTTGAAGTCATTTCTAAATTTATTTATTGCAGTGAGCAGAAAAGAAGACTAAAAGCAGAGAAGAAAGCCCAGGAAAAGGCAGAAAGGGAATCCCAAAAACCAGTCGAGACTAAGAAGGTGAGGAATACTTCACCTTTCTTACTTTGATAAGTTTGTTTTAGAAAAGTTAATGTTCTCCTGCAGTCTGTATTATGAGGGAAGATTATAGCCAGTGTTCTTCTTGGCTGGGGGGGGGGGATTTTGTGGAATAAAAACACTATAGTAATGGAACAAATCTATGTCAGTTATGAGGAGTGAATGATGGAAAAGTCTTGAGTTGCTCTTTATTTCAGCCACTGTGCACCATAACATGAGAAGGCTGTCATAGGTAAAATAATTGTAGGTAAGTCATGTTTTACATATCAAACAGGTATACTAAGGAGACTTAAATTATAATGAAAGTAGTAGCATTCATTACCTATTATTCTTAATATGTAAAGTGTCATTTAGTTATAATCTCATTGTCATTTTGTAAAGGTTGTTTTAGTTAATGGAGGCAGGCAAATTTTTATAGAAAGGAATGAGTATCAAAGGTTAATTATTTCAGGCAAATGAAGAAGAAATCAGTGCTAATGAGTACCTGAAACTGAGGACCCAGTATGTGCAGCAGCAGAAAGATGGAGGCAAGGTCATGTACCCCCACAAGTTCCATGTCTCCACCTCACTCGCCGAATTCCTCAAGACTTTTGACGACCTTGGACCAGGGGATGAAGGCAAGGAAGAGGTCTCCGTGTCAGGAAGAATTCATGCTATCAGATCAAGTAGTCAAAAGCTGCGGTTTTATGACTTGCGAGGAGAAGATGTTAAATTACAGGTAGGATGCAGAACTTGCTGTTAGTTATATTTTAGGTTCTCTCACTATTTATGCTGTTGATATCACATCATTCTTGTGATTAACTCATTTATGATAAAAATTTTAAGAACAATGCATTACCTAATACAAATATCAGACTTGCCAACTTTCACAGATACGAACAAACCTATCCATATGTACTGTATGGCTGCAGAGCCTCTGTTCAGGTCACTGGCTTCACACCTATAAGTAGCAAAGTTCTGGTTTATTTATCTTTTGATGATGGCATATAATGTTTTTCCTCTTGATATACTATGAGGGGAAGTATTCTATTGTTACTCGTTTATATATTGACACATCTTCTTTAGTGAGCCCTACTGTACATTAGCCTATTGGTGTGTATGTAAGGGAATAACTGATATGAGATAAGTAGAATTTTGATGTATGTGAGGGGAGAGAAAGACAAAAGAGTAGGAGGATGAGGATACATGGTAATAGAATGAGTGAGGTGGAGAGGATTGGAAGTATTGAGTTGTATATATGCCATTGGGCATATGATTGTGGCAGAGAGTATCTTGAAGTTTGGTCACAAGAATGTGGTTTTAAAAATTGCTTAAGTAAACCCTTAATAACTAGGAATATATGCAGCTCTAACCATTCTGAGTTATCAAATATTCTGAATTATCAAGGGTTTACTGGTGTAGCTGATAGTTACAGGTAAATACATGGCAGTTGATAGATGCATGGCAGAATGCTACCCTCTCCTTAGCGTGGTTAAGTGCGTATGAAGCTTTTTCCAACATTTTGTGCTTATATGATTTTTTTTCCAGGTTATGGCAAATATGAGATCTTATGGGAATGAGGCAGACTTCTTACAAGATTGTGACAAAATTCGTCGAGGAGACATCATTGGTGTCACAGGTATTGGTGTACGCACCAAAACAGGCGAGTTATCCATTAGACCCACAAAAATCCAGGTTTTGGCTCCCTGCCTTCACATGTTGCCACACCTTCATTTTGGCGTCAAGGATCAAGAGACCAGGTATCGGCAGAGGTACCTTGATCTCATCATTAACTCTGACATTCGCAAGAAGTTTATTATCCGTTCCAACATTGTATCTTATGCTCGGAAATTCTTTGATGATTTAGGTTTCTTGGAAGTAGAAACTCCAATGATGAATATGATTGCTGGAGGAGCAACTGCCAAACCCTTTGTCACTCACCATAATGAACTCAATATGGATCTCTTCTTGAGGGTTGCTCCAGAGCTTTATCTAAAGATGCTGATTGTTGGTGGCATTGATAGAGTTTATGAAATTGGGAAACAATTCAGGAATGAAGGCATTGACCTTACGCACAATCCTGAATTTACAACCTTGGAGTTTTATATGGCATATGCAGATTACAATGACTTGATTGAGCTTACAGAAAAATTGATATCAGGTATGGTGTACAGCATCTTTGGTTGTTATAAAGTGAAATTCCATCCAACTGGTTCAGAGGGTGAAGAATGGGAAATAGATTTTAAGCCCCCTTATAGAAGACTATGTATGTTCCCAGAGCTTGAGAAAGCCCTAAACACAAAACTACCAGAACCAGACAAGCTGAACACTGAAGAAGCTCGCAAGGTACTAAGTGACCTCTGTGAAAAACATGGGGTAGAGTGTCCAGCTCCTCGTACATCTGCCCGACTCTTGGACAAGTTGGTAGGAGATCTTTTGGAGGAACAATGCATTAACCCAACATTTATTATGGATCATCCACAGGTTATGAGTCCACTTGCAAAGTACCATCGCTCCATTAAGGGTCTCACAGAGAGGTTCGAACTCTTTGTTGCCAAGAAGGAAATTGTCAATGCCTACACCGAATTAAATGATCCGTTAGATCAAAGGTTGCGATTTGCTCAGCAGGCCCAAGACAAGGCCGCAGGTGATGATGAGGCACAAATGGTAGATGAAAACTTTTGCACAGCCTTGGAATATGGTCTACCTCCAACAGGAGGCTGGGGTATGGGCATTGACCGTATGACCATGTTCCTGACAGACTCGTATAACATCAAGGAAGTTCTCTTCTTCCCAGCCATGAAGCCTGATAATCCAAATAAGAATCCATCTGATGAAGGAAATAAGGAGAACCATCCAGCATCATAAAAAGTGTCTCGAACACAGTTTCTTGCTACCAAAGTGCTTAACATTGGCAAAACAACAAGACTATAAATTAGGGATCAGGATTTTGTACCTATTATTGTCATTAATCTCGGTAATTAAAGAATGTATGTAAATAACTGTAGAAAGTAAAGCTTCCTGATGAAAAATAAAAAAATTTGGGGGTGTATTCAGGGAAAATTTTGTGTTCTGTGTAACAGTTTTATATTGCCACTTGACCAAACTTGTACATGTTATTAAATTATATTTATTATATGTGGTTCTCAACACTGCTAGCTGTCTTTAATTGCCATTCGAAAATTTTAAGAGAATTAAAGTGATGATTAAAACTTGAATGAGCTCTGCTTGAAGCTACATAAAAGTTTTATTTAGACTTTAAAGGAAACTTTTGACAAACTGTATTATTATAATTAATGTCTTGAATCATCAGTGTACAGGTGAACTTACTGGCTAACACACTATCCTGACGATGATTCTTTAGTACAGGGTACTTGAAATACTATAAAACAATCTAGATATGATGACACCACCAGTAACTTCTTGAGCTAAATGAGATATTCAGGAAGGAACAGATCATGGAAACAGCTGACTGATCATAAACTCTGGAAACCTTTAGGGTAGGTATGGGCAACCTTTCCTCAGTCATGGGCTGCATTACGATTTGGGTATTTTTCTGCGGGCCAACACACGAAAATTTATATCCTACCTAACCCAAAAGCAATGTTAATATTGTATTAGCAGGGACAGTGAAGCAGTTTATTCTCACGTCCACCTTACGATATTTTCAGTTTACATTTACAGTCTTTTTCACATTTATGAAACGAGTCCATCAAGGACTACTTAGTATTTATTAACAGATCCTTGCGAGTACCAATACTGAGATTTTGAACAAATTTATGGATCACCTAGTTGCCAAAAATTGTAAGGCTTACACTTTACAGGATTTGCACAAATCTTTAGAATTTTCATATCCAGATGTTTCAAAACCCACATAAGTGGCAGTAATCAGATGAATTAAAATCAGTGATCTAATCAGGTGAATTAAACGGTGTTTAATCTTCTGTAAGAATTAAACTAGGGTGTCTAATCTTCAGGTGAATTAAACTCGGTGTTTAATCTTTCAGGTGAATAAAACTCGGTAGCTTAATCTTCAGGTGAATTAAACCGGTGTTTAAACCTAGGGGATTAAATCAGTGTTGAATTCTGCAAATTCAAATAAATTAGTCTAACTCTGTCTGTGGCAAAAAATACATGAAATACTTAAATAAAAACCATCTAAATTTCACACAGGTAGAATATCCCTAAAGCATAAATCCCATCAAGATTTACATGGGATTTAAAGATAGAGAAATAAAGGCAAAAAAATATAACACATTACACGCTAGCTTCAGTGAATCGATGGTAAAATATTTAAATGAATTGAGTTACCTTATTTTAATCCAAAAAAACCTTTACTTAACCCTTAATCATCGGCCATTCGGTCCACAGCTCCCAGGAGTGAAGAAAAACGTGCCAGAAGTAATGAGAGAACTTGATTTCCACCTATGACGATAAATAAGGTCTAAATAGAGGATTTTAGCGAGAGGGTGTGATAATCTGCCGTGTAAAGTGACGCATGCCAAATGTTGCCTGTTGGGGGAGAGGGAATAGGATGAAAGGGTATTTAGGCTTGGAGATAGGAGGAGGTGTTATATAAAGATATATAATATATATATATATATATATATATACTCGTATAGTTCGAAGTTTAAGACCAAATTTTTAGGCAAAAAATTTGGGCTCCTAAATTACCTTACAACGGCGGCTATCAGTAATCTATAAGCAGTTCTTTTGAAGACAGGTTAACTTATCATATACGGTATCACAGTTCTCATTGATTCCACAAAAAATACCGCAATAAAACCTTTGATATTTCACACTAATATACACCGGTCATCTACTTCAACCTCCTGTTTACAACGACAGAATCACCACCACCATCATCCTTTCATCCAGAAAACAAATTTGACCATAATAGTTAGTAAGTTCTTCAATATCTCTGGAAGAAAAGGGCTATCTGTTCTTCGTTACCTACAAATGTTATAGCATTTATTTAAAACACAAATTTGTTATTTCCACAAACAAACAGTTCCACTATGGCTGAGCAACAATGAAAACCGGCGTTTATATAATCTGCCAATAAATTCGCTCGCGCAAGGTCCCATATATCACTGTCCTTGTTCTACATCTACCACATATATATATTATGGAATATATAACATTTAGTGAAAATCCTTAAGAATTTAACCAGTCTATCATTACGTCATGATACCTGATTCCCAACATGGATGGAATCCACACCTGGATAATGAAAGTTCCCATTGGCAGTTATCACATCCTTAATATCACATGCAATTTTAGACATAGAGTCGGACGGGTTGTTCATTGATTTCAAAGCACTTTGAGAGTCATATAATAGTCACCCCAATTTCCATTATTCGTTTCGCTTTGTTCTTTTATTACTCATTAAAGTCACTAAGGTTTTATTTTAGGAGTAATAAGAAAATTTGAATATAATTGATATAATATTATTCTAACATCAACAACGATTTATAATATAGAGAATTAAAAATAAAACAATTTATGATATGGCAACATGTATGGTAGCTGACAGCTACAACATGACCCGTCGTCCAGTACATGGTCAAGTGGACGTGCGCATTATTCTTCATTTGACAATTCCTGCAAACTTGATAATTTTCTGCGCGTATATCGATATAAGGAAGTGTTGGGTGTTGTGAAGTGCTGAGGCCTGTAACGTAGCGTTGTGTTAATATATGGGATATTAAAAGGTGAAGTGATTTTAATTAAATGATTAGGCGATATTTAGTCACCGATGCCAAGTGAAGTGTTATGGGCCCATAACTGATTGATTAATGGAAATAAATAGTGTTAACGGAGGTAGTGAACTCCATCAGAAGGTTAAAGAAAAAATTGGAATCCTTTCTAGTGAACATTGCGCACGACGAGGCACGTAGTAATTCTAAGGCCTTTTTGAAGTGAAGTCAATTAAAAACATGTTCAAGAGTATTCACCAAGGTGCTAACTACACCAGGACTTGCTTCACCTCCGCCAGAATTTAAATTTTAAGGTATGATTAAAACTTTGTTTAGTTATATAGTTATGCTATGTATTACAATTAAGTACACAGAGCTATTAAAATTGTTATGGGTTAATACGTCTGACTCGCCGCTACCCCTAAAGTAAATACAATATCTTATCAGTACACTTACATTCAGAAACATTAAGAAAAATCTAACATTAAACCCAGCAACGCAAGCAACATCACACAGTAGGCGAGTCTGGTTTTGTTGGGGGTTTTACTCATGTGTGTATAACGAAAAACCGTCCTGCCTATTAGGGTTGTTTATGGACATGAAGGTTATGAATGGCCTAAAAATATATTATATCTTGCAAGGAACTTTATAAATGCAACTAGAATTAAACAACACAAATACAACTAGCTATCTGTACTACAGAAATATTTGTGAAAGAAAGTTATGAGAATTTGTTGTACTGTACATCTTAGATGCATTTCGGTTAAATACATGAAGGTAATGTTTTCTTCTGATGAATAAATTATTCTCGGAATACCTAATTCAAAAATAATAATATAATGTAGTTCTGAATGGTATTTGAACTTGGCTTTTGCCATGAATTAGAAAGAGCAATGAATCAGAAGAGGAGTAGCATTAAGAGCCAATAAATATTCCTCCCCAGCTAATTTACTGGTAATTGTATAATATGCAATGAATAGATTATAATATGATCAATATGCATGAGTTTCAGACTATCCTGGGTAATTTTCATTACTGAGTTAATGAAAATACTTGAAAGTCATTCATTTGCCTCACTGTGCAAAGTGTGTGTATGGTAATAATTAATGTCCACACCACATTAACATTTTGTAAATTTCCAGCCCCTCATTGGTGCCTTCCTT